TTTTTTGTGATATTAAATGTTTTAAAAAAAAGCCAGTCATGGATAGGATTCGAACTAATCACCGTGCGATACAGCGGTATAGTTCTTACGTATCTATGCTTCCGAAAAAGTGTCCATCGTCCTTTGATGAGTAAAGAATAAGATGACGATGGCGGTGATCGTGATGATGATGATGATGATAAACTTTAATTATTTAAACATGGTTAAAATATTCGTATATAATAATAGAAAATGAATAAATTCTATAAACTGTTTTACATAATTGCCGTGTGGGAGCATGATCAGCAAACCGAGAGTGAATTTTCCCTCAAAGTCTTCTGATCTAGAGAATTTGCTCTGCGTACGTACATCCTCGGGAAGATTGTGCCATAAGTAAGCACCACGGTAACACAAGCCACCTGAGACCGCTTTACAGTAATAAAAGCGTGGTTCAATAAGACCTTTGCATATCATAACTTCAGTGGGGAACAAAAGAAACGAATTAATTCAAAAAGATAGGTGAGAGATGTTAGTTGTGTAGGATATTGAAGGTCAAGACTAATTAAAGCGAACAAATTGAAACAAACTCAGAATTCATCATGTAGGAAGGTCATGCATTGAAGTAGTTCAATTAGCGATCAAGAAAAAGACAAATTAGAAGGAATAGGACAGTGATGGAAGGATCGTGTTGTGTGCCTTCGCGTACATGGTGAAGATTGTCATCTGTTATTATCTTAAACATAATTTCTTAAAATATCTTTACGTTTGCATGGCTCAGGTTAAACGTTGAACTGACTAGTGGCTAAGAATACGAAAAATGGATGAATTAAAATAAAGGAGGAGATAAAAGTACACGATTAAACAACAGAGCACAAACAGACCTACATAATCAAGCAGCCAGATATAACAAAAGTACACTGCTCCGCTCACCTCAGACAGTCAAGTTACTAATGGCCTCGGACGATCCAAGAATGTTCCTAGCAGCACATGTGTACGGTCCAGCATCGCTGTAATTCAGATTTCTAACGATCAACTCTCCTTCTTTAATCAAGTACTTTGCACCTGACAGAAGCTTTCTGCCCATAAGTTGCCATTCCACGACTGGGGAAGGACTTCCTGCGACCGTGCAATAAAATGCCGTGTCTCCTCCTTCATCTGCTCTGCTGGCGACAACATCACTTGTGGAGCAGATATCGATTTTCCAGGCTTTCCAGGTGGTCCCGGCATGCCTTTTGGCCGGGCTCTCCTTTATCTCTCTTTTCTCCTGTCGGTCCTGCAGGACCAGTTATTCCTGTTTTTCCGGATTTTCCAGGAGGTCCCATGGGACCTTGAGGACCTTTCTTTCCCTTTGGTCCCCTCCTGCCACATGGTCCCGTCGCTCCAGTGGAACCAGGATATCCGGGGGGACCTGCAGGACAGACCTTCTCACTTGACTTACAGTACTTGGTGGGCATCAGTTGTTCAAATTGTTTGCTGATTTCTTTTCTCACTTCATGTATGGTGATGCCAGTTGAAGTGTCGTTCAAAATGTTTCTTCGCTTTCTTACCCGGATGGTTGCTGACACCTTTATTGGCAACGGGCTGACTGCAGTAAAGTAAAATTAGATAATACCTGTTAATTATCCAATCAGGGGCACCCAACGTCAATTTTCGGAAAATATCTGTTCGGAAGACGATTTGAGATCTAGAATTTTCGGAAAATTTGTTGTAAAAGGATTTTCGAAAAAATGATATAATTGCCCATTTTTAACGGATTTTTACCCTAAAAAAGGTCACCTAGAATTTTCGGGAGCCTACATTCTTCCAAAACGTTCTAAACCAACTTCTCTGTTTTGACTGCAGCGAGATAATTCTTGGTGGAGACTTTAATTTAGTGCTTGATGTCCAAAAAGACAAAAAAGGTGGAAGACCAGTAACCCACAACAACTCGTTAAAAGAGGTCAAGCACATTTCAAACTGATTGGATCTCATAGACATTTGGCGTTGTTTTAACCCAGAAGGTAAAAGATTCATTTGGAGGAGAAGAAAACCTGACATACACTGCCGTCTAGACTTCTTTTTGACAAGCTCTAGCTTAAGTACAACTATCACCAATGCAGACATATTACCTGGGTACAAAACAGATCACTCTTTAATATCTATTCATTTGGCAAATGATGCAAACCCCAGGGGCCCGGGTTTTTGGAAATTGAACACCTCTTTTCTGTTAGATGAAGAATATGTCGTCCTAATTAAGAAAACAATCACTGATGTAGCAAATGAATATGCGAACAATAACGAGATTGATGCCATTCTATTATGGGACACCATTAAGATGCAAATTAGGTCAAGCTCTCTGAACTATGCAAGGAGAAAGAAAGCTAAAATGAAATCATTTGAGTTAAAACTTGAATCTGAAATATTGTCTCTCCAAAAGGAGTTAGAAGAAAACAACATTTCTGAAAATGAAAAAGTCCATATTTATAGTGAAATAGATGTTAAGATTCTACAAAGAGAAGAAATTTCAAAATATAAAACTCGAGGAGCAATATTAAGATCCAAGTCTCGGTGGCATAATGAAGGAGAGAAAAATACAAAATACTTCCTAAACTTGGAAAAACGACATTTCAATAAAAAAAACATCAAATACCTCACATTAGCAAATGATAATGTCGTCAATACAGATAGCGAGATCCTAGAAGAAGCAAAATCCTTCTATGAGAATCTTTATTCTTCAGCTAATACGCAACCCGACACTAAGGAAGAAAGTATGTTTTTCCCAGACGGAAATACTCTTATCCTAAATGAGCAAGAGCAAAAAGAGTGTGAAGGCTTCCTGACTGCCTCTGAATGTTTAGAAAGTTTAAAATCAATGGAATCAAACAAGAGCCCTGGAAGTGACGGCCTCCCAGCCGAATTCTATAAAGTTTTTTGGAATGACATCAATCAGCATCTGTTAAATGCCTTAAATTGTGCATATACAAAAGGTCTCTTATCGATTACTCAAAGAAGAGGATTGATTACTCTCATACCAAAGAAGAACAAACCGACCAACCTGCTAAAAAATTGGAGGCCTATCACCCTGCTTAATTGCGATTACAAAATAGCCACCAAATCCATTGCAAGTAGAATACGAAAGGTTCTACCAAGGATAATTAACAACGATCAAACTGGTTTTCTAAAAGGCCGATTCATCGGAGAAAACATCAGACTTATTGATAGTATTATTAATTACACAAATACAGAAAAAATACCCGGTCTACTACTGTTTGTCGACTTCGAAAAAGCCTTCGATAGCATTGAATGGTCCTTTATAGAAAAAACTCTGAAGTACTATAATTTTGGAACCTCTCTGGTTACTTGGGTAAAAGTATTTTATACCGATATCAGCAGCTGTGTTCTGAACAACGGATGGTCTTCGGATTTTTTCAACTTAGGTCGCGGTGTGAGACAGGGATGCCCGCTGTCCCCATATTTATTTATTTTGTGCGCTGAAATACTAGGTAATACAGTAAGGAAAGATAATGAGGTCCGTGGAATAAAGATTTTTCATACTGAGTGTAAGTTATCCCAATATGCAGATGACACGACTATGATTTTGGATGGCTCCAAGTCCTCCTTTTTGAGGTCTCTGTACTTACTTGATGCTTTTGCTTGCATATCGGGTTTGAAGGTCAACTATGAAAAAACTGAAGCCCTCTGGATTGGCGCCTCTAAAAGTTCTAATCTCACTTTCCCTTCAAGTAAACCAATAACTTGGGCAAACGAGAAGGTCTTCGCCTTGGGAGTGTGGTTTTCGACTTTGGAAGATAGGTCTCTTAATTCTAACTTTATTGAGAAAATTGAGAAAATAAGGAGTATCTTAGATAATTGGTCGGCTAGAAGACTGACCCTCTTGGGTAAAATTACAATCATAAAAACTCTAGCCGTATCACAAATCGTCTACATATTGTCATCTCTTCCAACACCTCCTGACATACTTAAGACAATCAACTCTATATTGTACGATTTCCTTTGGGACGGTAAGGGCGATAAAATCAAAAGGACGACAATGATAAATAATTACGCGAAAGGAGGACTTAAGATGTTAGATATTCAAAGCTTTAATGAATCCTTGAAAATGAAATGGATCCAAGGGTATCTAAATGAAGAAAATAAAGGGAAGTGGAAACTTTTTTTTGACCACTACTTAGGGAAGTACGGAGGAAAACTATTGTTCCGAAGCAATTTGAAACAGCAAGATTCTGCACTGCTCAACCTCAAGGACCCTTTCTTAAAAGAAATCATACAGTACTGGACAAAATTTAATTACAAAGACGATAACCTCGATTTTGCCTCCACATATATATGGTACAACTCTCACATTAGAATTGAAAATCGCCCATTCTTCTACAGATCATGGTTGAGCGCGGGGATAAAGGAGATTAGAGATCTGTTAGATAACGACCAGAATTTTCTAAGCTATAACGCCTTCATAGATAAATATAGCATCAAAACCAATTATCTCGAATATCACAAAGTGATATCTGCTGTAGCACATTACAAGAAAGTACACTCTACAGCCTATCATGACTCGACTCCAAAGGATCCAGTTGATACCCTTCTGTCTCACACCAAAGTTTCCAAGAAAATTTATGAATGTCTAATAAACGAAAAAGCTTCTATACCATCAAGGAGTCAGGGAAAGTGGTTGGAAGAGAGAGACATACATTGTAATCTTAGTATAATAGTAAACTGGGAAAATACGTACTGCCTATCATCTCTGTGTACAAGAGAGTCAAAGCTTAGAGCGTTCCAATTTAAATTCCTTCACAGAAAAATAGCCACAAATGACTTCCTGTACAAAATAGGTATCAAACAAACAGATTCCTGCTCCTTTTGCGAGGAACAAAAAGAAACCCTCGTTCATCTATTCTGGACTTGCAGATACACTCAGAACTTCTGGAAGAGCATGTTCGAGTGGATGTCTCAAAATTTCAAAGATTTAGAAAACGTCTCTCCCTCCTTGTCTCTCTGTTTCGGTCTCATTGACGACGTAAAAGACCTTCTCTTTCATCACCTACTCCTTATAGCTAGACATTACATATACACCTGCAGACTTGGGAACAAGCTTCCTAAGCTGCAGGTGTATATACAGGTACTTATGAACTCGATAGAAATTGAAAAGCATATTGCATTCCACAATAACGACTCAAACGTCTTTGTACGGAAATGGTCTCGCTTTAAAAATAACCTCTCACAAAATCTGTTGCATTAACAATATATAAGAAGCGTAAAACGTGGAATCCCTTAACTTGAAACCAAATATGTTGTATGACCTTTTGTGTGATTTTATTTTACTATATGTATATACTTTTTGCTTGATTTATTTATTTATTTGTTTATTTTAGTCTCGTACCTTTCTGTTTTTGTGACAATATTTGTTTTTTTTTTGTTTAGTCATACAAATTAGTTGCATACTCGAAACATGTCCACGTTTTTCAATTGCTTTGTAAAATGTAGAATCCCTTGACTTGAAATCAAATATCTTGTATGACTTTTTTTGTGATTTTATTTTACTATATGTACTACTACAATGTATGTCAATACTTGTTGTGGAAATAAAAATAAAAATAAAAATAAATAAATAAATAAATAAATAAATAAAAAGAATTTTCGGGGGCCTTTTTTCTAGCTGAAATTTTCGAAAAGGTAAGTTTGATCCCTATAATTTTCGCATCACTAGACTTTCTGCTAGGAAGCTCGAACAGATGAAAAATTTTTAGGGGATTAAGATATGCCTATATCTACAGTTTAAATACTAATATACGTTCAACAATGCTATGTTTAAATGGTTTTGAACTATGTTCTCGTTGGCTGCCACTGTCCAATGATAAATTGTAAAAATGAACAAGATCGAGAAGGAACAAGAGAATAATACGGCTGACTTTTCCGGATAAAGGTAACTTACAAAGGAACAAGAATCGAATCTTAAGACCTTCGCACGAATTTCAAGCCAACTGAGGTCTTGAACACACCTACTTTCAATCGCTCTTGTAATCCCATAAGGGTTAAGCAAGGTTTTTCAAATTAAACTGAACTCCTTTGAAAGAAACGGAAATATCATGTACTGAATAATCTCTTAATACACGCCTTTTGTCTATACTGATCTATACTGTCTATAATATTCGAAACTTTATCCAGAAAGTGCGAAACGAAAATAGTTCAATCTAAAGCAAACAGATAAATGTAAAAATGAATTGCCAAGAATTAGATCATTATTGCTTGAAATTGGTCACGCAATACCTTTCAACTCCGAGACCTCAAATAACCTCAAACCAGAAGCACATGCAAGCCCCACTTAAAGAAATGTTTAAGGAACCTCATCTAATGTCGTCTAGCTAAAAATCCTAAAAAGACAATCTTGTTGAAAAGCTGTATAGTAATGATATCGACTATCTGGCGTGTGAAGGAATCTTGTTCTGCTCTGGTAAACACATTATTTATATATATTTATATTCAACTTCATTTACGCTGTAGATCTCTTCGGTGTTTTATCAGTGGCAGTGGCATAATTGCTGACCTCTAGGGAGCATTATACAAAACAGTTTCATACAGTCTAAGTTAAAATCTAATACTATTTTGAAATTGCAAAACGTCCCGTGCTGTCAACGGGAACTCACGTCATGAAAGGTTATGTCTTAACCGAGGGAGGATATAAAAGCAGGTGTAAGCATCCTCAATGTACATAAGGCCATCCAAGTAAGAAGAGTAAAAATAAATTTTACCGGAGGTATAGCCGTTCCCATCTTCTGAAACTTGTGTCTGCATCTTCTTGGAAAGGTCTATTGCGATATCTTTTGTCGGTGTGAAAGTCATCCTGTCAAGATTATTAATAGTGCCACGCTTAGTGCAAGGAACACAGTAAATACGAGATTCCAGTGAAATCAGTCGTTCGTTACAACGAAGTAAAAAGTGGGTCTCTGTAGGCGTTTGATTTTGATTATGGTGGCTTTCCTTGCTACCAGAAATTGACGGAACAAACTCAAGGACTCGTTGAGATTTTGAAGAGTTTACGGTTTTCATTTTTGCAGTTTTACGATCGTTTTCTTTCACAGCCACGCGAAGACGGAAGTTTGAGGGAAAGTTGCAAGTTAAACCTGATCCGCTTCTGATTTAGCCCAGAAAAACAAAAGTGTTAGCTTACATTAGATTGACGTAAGCTGGGCTATTCGGCCGGTGGTAACTTTTCTCTTGTTGCACTCAAACGTGGTCAAAGTTGCAACAATTTCCGTATTCTAAAATATTGCAGAAACCAAACATCACGTTCATAGGAAAGGTAAGAGGTTGACCACGTGACCATTGGCTTCATTTATCATTCTTGATAATGTGGAGAGAATAAAGTTCCTCTTTTAGTGACAAACATTCGAGTATGAGTAATTTTATTTAATTTAATTCTTGTTTTCTGTCACAGTCTCTCCACGTTTGAGGGAAAGTTGGAAGTTAAACCTGATCCCTTCTCATTAAGCCCATAAAAACGAGTGTATTGTTGGTTAAAATTAGCTTACATTAGATTGACGTAAGCCGGGCTGCTCTGCCTGTTGTTAACCTTCCTCCTGCTGCACTCAAATGTGTTCAAAGTTCCAACAGATACCATATTTTAAATTATTGCTTAAATCAAACATGACGTTTACAGTAAAGGAAACAAGGTTGACCACGTGACCATTAACAGACATTATTGATAACGTTGAGAGAATAAAGCTCTCTTTTTATATCAAAACTGAGTAATTTTATTGAATTTTAATTCTTGTCTGTAAAAACAATTAGTACTAGCCCGTGAACGTGATCTTTTATCTATTTATAATCAGTATACATTTCTTATGAGTGTATATTACATTAATATTTTGTATACTAGAACATTCATGATGGCTACTGATGTGCCTCAGATATTATACGTAAGGCTTACATGAATTAGTAACCCAACGCTCTTAAATTTAATCTGTACTACACTGCCAGAAGGCGATCGGGATTGTCACGTGACTGCAAGCAGTCTATACCTGTATATGAGATCATTAGAGATAGTAATTTTAATCTTTGATTACTAATATTTATATAGTGGTATCCGGCATTATGCACGCGGACCGAGTAAAACCAAACTTTGATCAGTGTTATCTCTTAAGACTCTTAAGTTTCCTTATGGATTATTAATTTATAATACTTATGAAGGCCAAGCCACAGTTACAAACCGCCAGTGAGGACAGCCTGGTTCAGTAAAATATCACTGTACTGCTTTTTTTTACAACCTTGTTTACTCGGAAGCTGAGATTTCTTTGCCCTCAAGATAAGGATGTAACTGTTTTCTGACAGATGACAGTATAGCTATCCCCAGCTAGACTCGTACACCCAGGTGAAAAAAGATTAGGGTTGGGTTAAGGCCTACGCGGTACTGTGAACAGCTTCGGAGATCTCTTTTTGACAATTCTATTTTTCGTTTGTTTGTAAAATGTTGTAGTATACGTTCTAATGATTGTGTTGTGATTTAGATATAAGGGGCTTGCTTAGTGCTGCAGACTCGTTCACCTCTAAGCATCTACTTGTACAATAAGCTCAGCTCAAATATCGAAGCCGGTGTCGTGCAATATATTAATTAGGTTGTTTCGTAAAAGGTTTCAACTTCGTCTGGTGTGAACTTGTAAGTTCCTGCCAGGAATGTTTGTGCGAAGCTGTAGCTGTAGCTGTACCCGCTCGGTGGGCTGTAAGTATGACCAAGGTTGCTGTAAGAATTGCTATTAGATGACGCGTAGTTTTTGATGTTAATGTCATGTCCTCCTCCGAATGTAGGCCCGTAGGATGAGAGAAAGTATAAGGAATCTTTGCTAGAACTATATTGCCCTGATTGAGACAATTTGACAGGCGCCCATCCCGGCTTGTTTACCAGCGAAAATAAGAAGGCTTTTGAGTCGTATTGATACCGGCCAGAACCAGAAGCTAAAAGAAATGAAACAAAACTTTTCTAAGATAGGTTAGCGACATTGTCCTTGTGCCTGTCATAATGATGACGATGATGATGATGATTATTATTGATTAAAGACAATAAATACCTTACTCTCATAAAACAAATTCGATCGAGTGTTTTTTCTTAGCCGAAATTTGCAAATTTCACCAGAAACTTGCGATAAAGAAGTACGTTAGTCGCTACTTTTGCAATATGGGAATTGAAGGATGGAAGATAGCAGGTTGCCAAGAAAGTCAGAACAATATCGATATTTTAGAACCTCAAAATTATTAGTATTAGAGTATTAGCCTGGAATTTGGGCACGTTTTGACAAGCTAGAAATGCATCACTTACCATCTGCAGAACCAGAACTCTAGAAAAGGGGTGGGGGGTGGCGTTTACTCACACCATGTGGGTGTAGGAGGGGCGGTCCTCGCCCCTTGAGGAACGAGGGGATATGGGCCCGCATCTAGAGCTATTAACCTAGAACCTTTGTACGCCAATGCTTAACCATGTATGAAAGGTAGAGTCACATGATTCCATACTGTTAAGTACCAAGCTGCCCTTTGGGCTGAACATATGAATGCTAATTACGCCAAAGCTATAAATGCCACTGAAATGGCTTACAATGCTCACTTACCCCATGAAATACTTGTGTATCCTCCGAAAATATATCTCCCGACCCTTATTATTGTCACAGTCGGGCCCTTGCTGTCACATCGGGAGTGAAATGTACTAGCAGCCCAGCCGTCCACGGATGCACGCCAACAGCGCTTCCAGAGAGAATTCACGCTTTTTGCCACAGGTGCTAGCCAGTTTCTTAACAAGGTCAAGTGATTTCTGTTGTTTCCCACAATGACTGAGCTTTCAAAACCTAAGTATTAAAAGTCAACGTCCATAAAATGACAAGGTAAAAAGTTTTTAAAATGTTACAACAACTGAATTTATTGAGAAAAAGAGTAACATTGCAAGTGACTAAAGAAAGCATGTATGAAGTCATTTGCGCGCTATTAAGGAAGTTTAAGCATTTTAAAAGATCATTGAAACTCTAGTAAACATGCATGTCTAAAGTTGCAAATTTCTGTAAGCGCAACATACACTCGCAATGATAGTAGCTCTCGTCTGGCTTTAGCAGTAATTAGATGGTTTTTGAATGCTTGAAAAATAAACAAACAAACAAAGAAACAACAAAAACAAAAATTAAAATAAAGCGGTCTTCGAATGGATCACCCTGCGATATATTTCGGTATAGCCGTATAGTTCTCGCAGTGACAAATTTAGACTTTCGAAAAACTGTCCTTCATAATGAACACTCTTATCTGGTGTTTAACCAAGATCGCAAGCTGGATAAGACTATTTCCATTACTGAAATGAACGTTTTATCTAACGGTACCTGATTCTTGCTTTGGGCATTTTATAATTGCGCACTGGGAAGCTATTGTTTGGTGGACACTCAAGCAATTCATTGCAGTGAGTTCCGTACGCCCAAATGCCCAGTGCCCAATTGCCAAAGCAACCTTTTATTGAAGCAGGTATATACAGAGAAGCCTCAGAGTGAGACGGTGCCTTCAATACAAACCTGAACGATGCACTTGTACTGCTAGGTTGATTCTTTTCTTCTTTGTTCCCATAATGTTAGTAGCTACGCAGTCGTAAAAACCGTTGTCAGCAGGACTCAAGTTGTTAATGGTAAGTGTGCCTTGGTTTATACTAGTCTTTCCAGCAGGTAAGGGCATTGCTGCTCTAGTCCAGGTTATCGCGGGGCGAGGATATCCGTCAGCTTGACATGTTACTTGAAACGTAGTGCCTTGAACTGGTGTGGCAAGTGAAGGTGGAACTTTTGTGAAGACTGGAAGACCTGAAATAGACCCAGTACATGATCGACCAGCATGCATAGAATATAACGGGGTAGGCGTTTTGAGAGGCCAGCGGCACATATCCTGCAAAAATTTAACCTAAGTAACCTTCCCTGGTGGTCTAAGCTAAAAAGAGAGGAAGAGAAGGATGGTGTTGTGTGCCATCGCGTTCATGTAAGGTCCAAATATTCCTGTCATGTGTTGTTATCTTTAACATTATTTATTGTCTTTATGTTTGTATGGCTCAGATTAAACGTTGAACTACACTCGTGACTACTAGCCTAATGCCAACGAGCAAAATCTATAGTCCTTAATCATTAGCATAAGGTATGAGTGAGTAAATTCAAGGTTTGGCGTTATACACTGCTTAAGAAATAAAAAAAATGAAAGAAGAGATAAAAGTAAATGATTAAACAGCGGTGCCATTTTTATATTCAAACCTCGCATTCTCGCATTCTCGGAGCACAAAGGAGCCTACAAAATCAAGCAGCCAGATATAACAAAACTCTAAGTTAAATGCTCCTCTTACCTCGAACAGTCAAGTTGCTAGTGGCCTCAGACGATCCAAGAATGTTCCTGGCAGCACATGTGTACGGTCCAGCATCGCTGTAATTCAGATTTCTAACGATCAACTCTCCTTCTTTAATCAGATGCTTTGAAGCTGACAGAAGCTTTGTGCCCTTAAATTGCCATTCCACGATTGGGGAAGGATTTCCGGCGACCGTGCAATAAAATGCTGTATTTCCTCCCTCATCTCGTGTCTGCTCTGCCGGCGACAACATCACTTGTGGAGCAGATATCGATTTTCCAGGCCTTCCAGGTGGTCCCGGGATGCCTTTTGGCCCAGGCTCCCCTGCCTCCCCATTGCTTCCCTTTTCTCCTCTCGGTCCTGCAGGACCCGTTATTCCTGTTTTTCCGGATTTTCCAGGTGGTCCCATGGGACCTTGAGGACCTTTATCTCCCTTTTCTCCTCTCGGTCCTGCAGGACCAGTTATTCCTGTTTTTCCGAATTTTCCAAGTGGTCCCATGGGACCTTGAGGACCTTTCTTTCCCTTTGGTCCCCTCCTGCCACGTGGCCCCCTCGCTCCAATGGGACCAGGATATCCGGGGGGTCCTGCAGGACATACCTTGTCACTTGACTTACAGTACTTGGTGGGCATAAGTTGTTCAAATTGTTTGCTGATTTCTTTTCTCACTTCATGTATGGTGATGCCAGTTGAAGTGTCGTTCAAAACTTTTCTTCGCTTCCTTAACCGGATGGTTGCTGATGCCTCTATTGATAACGGGCTGACTGCAGTAAAGTAAGATTAAGAAATTTTTTAATATCCAGTGATTAATATTAAAAATAAATAAGGGAGAAAATATAACGAACAAATCAACGGAATGAATGATAAGGTTGACATTTCTAACATAAAATTAACGTTTTGGAGGTTGAATTCAACAACATGGTTTACAACTTTTTAATTTGTCCTCATGCCTCTTCCCTTGTTGCTTCCAAGAGAAAGCTAAGCTGACATTCTAGATTTCTAGTTCTACGCACACATTCCAAACCCCAGGGGAAGGGTACTTGGGTAAATTTTTGCTGGGTATGTGCCGCTGGCGTCTAAGAGCCCCTACCCCATTATAGTCTATTCTGTGACCAATTATAGACCCTATATCTTAGTCACTTTTGGGCAAATATGTAATTTTCGCGATCCTAACTTAGTCACTTTTTATTTTTATGAATTGACCCATTTTTTACACTGTATGAAGAACACTTTACTTTTCATCTACAGAACAAACATTCTGGTACGTTTGCTAACCGTAAATAAGAACTGTCTTACCACAAAAAATCCGAAAATGTGCGACCCCATTCTAGTAATTCTATTGAAAATGCAACCTCATTATAGTCAATTCAGTCGTGAAAATGGGGCCCTAAACAGCGGCACATCCCTAGTAGCCTCTTATAAGGAAGTCCCTCCCAGGGTTTTAAACCAACTGAGACCGTTCAATAAACGTACTTTCAATCTTGCCACCCTATCGAAGTTACAAAAGGTTTTATCGAGTAATCCGGCAAGCCCTAAGACCCCTTAACCGAACTCCTCTAGGGGCTAACCTTTCAAAAAATATCTCAAATTTTACGCCACCCTAACAATTTTATTCAGACAGTGCTATTTCAGACTGAATTTTCCACACTCGCTTTCAGACCATGCAAGCCTCTAAGATCCGCACCCGTTTTTAGATCTGGCCTTTAAACAGAAATTGTGTCATCATTACTTAGAGCGCAAACAAAAAAATTCTTCAAATGCATTTCGTATTCACATATTTCTATTTCGTTCTTATTCATGTGGAACTGAAACGATAACTACGCCATGCATACGCTCCAGTAGGTTCCTCGAAAACCAAACCCGATTCCAGACCAAAATGACCTACGTTTATACCAGCGTTTGTAGAACAAAAAGGGCCAAGAAGTACACTCTTTGTGGCGGCACATAATTGTATGGCTTTTAAAATTATACAAGAGTACCCTCCTGAGTATTGACCACATATCTTGCACGTGAGCAAGTCGTTCGACACTTAAACTATGAATTCAACATCATTTACACCGAAAATTTCTTTATTGTTTTACCAGTATAGGTGGCTTAGTGAATATCTAAGCAGTATTACAACAGAGCGAGAGTGTTGCAAAAGGGTCAGGGGCACCCAACGACAATTTTCGGAAAATATCTGTTCGGAAGACGATTTGAGATCTAGAATTTTCGGGACATTTGTTGTAAAATTTACTGCTTGCCTACTTCTCCTAGGATTTTCGAACATCTAAAAAATGGTATAATTGCCCATTTTTAACGGATTTTTACCCTTAAAAGGTCACCTAGAATTTTCGAGAGCCTTTTATCTGGCTGAAATTTTCGAAAAGGTAAGTTTTGATCCCTATAATTTTCGGATCACTAGACTTTCAGCTAGGAAATCCGAACAGATGAAAAATTTTTAGGAGATAAAAATTTGCCTATATCTACCGTTTAAATACTAAAATACGTTTAACAATGCTTTGTTTAAGTAGTTTTAAACTACGTTCTCGTTGGGTGCCCCTGAAGGGTTTATACAGTGTTAGTTGATTATCTAATGCAATATCCAAAGATCCCGTATGTAAGAGCAAACTCACACCATGAAAGATTATACCTAAATCAAAAGAGGATTAACTCAGTTCTAAACATGTATCTGCATCTCAATAACATCTGAAGTGAAGATCTTACCTGATGTATAACCGATCCTTTCGGATACATGTGTCTGAACCTTCTTATAAAGATCTCTTGCTGTAGCTTCTGTCGGTGAAAGAGATATCCTGTCAGTATTTTCAATCGAGACACTCTGAACGCAGGGGAAAAGGTTAACGCGAGATTCCAGCGCTATCAGTCGTTCGTTTGTTGTTTCATTCTTCACCCAGAGACATCCGCAAACGAAAACTAATACAACAGAAAGAAACGATGGTCTTATTGACGGAACAAAATCAAGGAGACGATGAGATTCTGCCGGGGAGTTCGAGGATTTCATTTCTGCAGCTTGCCAATCGTCCCACGCACGGAAGATGGAGGTGAGTGGGAAACTTGCCAGTAAATTTGATCCTTAAAGGGCAACTCTCGCGTAGGACAACATTTTTCAGAAAAACCTTGCAAATGTTTTTCTCATTGTAATACCATCAAGAAATATATCTTCAGCGATCTATTTGGCTCAGAAATCGAGATTCAAAGTGTTAAGTTCGTTTGTTGTTTCATTCTTCACCCAGAGACATCCGCAAACGAAAACTAATACAACAGAAAGAAACGATGGTCTTATTGACGGAACAAAATCAAGGAGACGACGAGATTCTGCCGGGGAGTTCGAGGATTTCATTTCTGCAGCTTGCCAATCGTCCCACGCACGGAAGATGGAGGTGAGTGGGAAACGTGCCAGTAAATTTGATCCTTAAAAATTTCGCCTAGAGAAACATGTCATTAAGGTTGACGTAAAAAAAAAAAAAAAACAAGTCTTTATAGGGACGGTAAGGGGCCACGCGCGGACCATGAAAACCTTAATGGGGGAAGTGGGAGGTGAAGTACAAAAATATAATATTCGTGCAAGGGAAAACTAAATGAATAAAATTAGTGCACTCCAAGTAACGCCAAAAAATATTCATGCTTTGGACCAAGAAAATTAAAATGAAGAAAATGCTAACGAAAAAAATTCATGCGACTTTCCTATTGGTCTGTCCGTAATTAACTTTCTTCCTCACGCCTCGTAACAATATCATTTTCCCTTGCATATTGCGTGAACTGGACCATTATGTTCGCTGGCAAACATACTTTATTGAATAGTGGAAAATTTTCCTTGCAAAGTGGGATTACCTAATTATTTAGCGGCAATAAATGCCCTTCACACGTTACACTCTTGGACAAAAGGTGTTGAGATTTTGCACTTTCGTACCCACAGAACGCCTATCCCGCGGATTTGGTACCACTATGGCTCCTCCCCTCGCCCCACCCTGGTAAAATTTGTTTATTCGGGATCAGAAATGATCCAGCCGGGCTTCAACATTGTTTTTTGGGGGGCAGGGGGGATGGAGTATCTGTAGCTGCCAGCGCTTTCAAGCTTTATTTTGAAACTAGACATAGTATCGTCCATTTTTCAAGATTGTAGATGGTGTTAGTACTGAGCCAGTTATACAACTATTTTGATTAAGATTCTAGTTGAACGTCACTATTTTTATCTTGTATAGTTAAGGTTAAAGGCGACAGACTTAGCCGCCCCTTTTCAAGTGTCACACAACGCATATGCGGGTTAAATAACTCGTTGTTCATTTTTGTTGTATTTACAATGACAACTACTTGACACGGTCTTTTACTAGTGCTTGATATCGGTTAGCAGGGTATTAGACATAAATCAGTCTTTTTGTATCGTTTATAAATACGACTTAGAGTTTCCCAAGTAGGGCAACTTACTTTGTTACATCACAAGTGTCTGACATTGGGACAGACTGAGCGGGCCCACCAGCCCTCGGGTTTGCATTTCAACGCATATGCGGGCGTACTGAATTGAGCTCTTGGGCAAGAAAATAACTCATTGCCCCTTTTCTGGTTTTATTTCCAATGACATCAGTTCTTGAAACAGTTTTTTTTTTTTACTAACGCGTGCTGTCCGTTAATCGAATCTTGAAGTATGCTTAAAGCGCCCGAGAACGTTCGCGCGCTTGCACAATAGCGGCTGAACCTTTCGGTAGGTGACGGGTTTAACTCATAGACATAGTAACGCTGACACTCTCTAACGCGTATCTGAACTGTCCTATAACAACAGTTTAATAATCCGTGGAAACAAACTTCCCTCCTCACGATACTATCTTCAAAGGTGGGATGTTCGCCATTCAGCCACCCAGTCAGATCAGAGCTGCATTTGCGAACGGGGATACAATTGTCTACCATTCTTGAATATGAACTTGACTGGAAGCGGTACGAGCCGGGGACGAGTCTGTTGTCTGAGTTACTACCATAGCCAAAGGACTGCTGTCGATTAGGTTCAGTAAGAACCGTATAGTCTCGGCACTGTGGTGCATCTGAATTAAAAAAAGGCAAGTGATGATAAAACTATGGACCAAAATTGAATGTCTAATTGAGTTCTGCTAGATTTTCTACTGCTAGCTACCCGGGGGGAGGTGGGGGGGTGGGTACTCCCATACATTAGCTATACGTGTATGTGCCGCCCAACGGGGTCATCATCATCATCATCATCTTTATTTAAAAACACGGTAAATACATCAGGCATTAACAATTTAATATAAAGCTACAACTTAAATGCGAAACTATGTATACAGATTAATATTCTATAATTTAAAATATTGCTAACTATTAAGGAAAAGTAAACTAAATTAAAGCCTGTTTTACATGAATGCCGTGTATTGGTACCACTATGGCCCCTCCCCCCGCCCCACCCTGGTCAAATTTGTTTATTCGGGATCAGAAATGATCCAGCCGGGCTTCAACAATGTTTTTTTTTTTGTGGGGGGGGTGGGGGGGGGAAGGGTTGAGTATTTGTAATTGCCAGTGCTTTCAAGCTTTATCTTGAAACTAGACGTAGTATCGTCCATTTTTCTCAACATTTTTTTCAAGATTGTAGGTGTGTTAGTACTGATCCAGTTATACAACCATTTTGATTAAGATTCTAGTTGAACGTCAGTATGTTTATCTTGTATTGTTAAGGTTAAGGGCGACAGACTTAGCCACCCCTCTCTTAGTGCCACACAACGCATATGCGGGTTAAATAACTCGTTGTCCATTTTTGTTGTATTTACAATGACAGCTGCTTGACACGGTCTTTTACCAGCGCATGCTGTTTGTTAGCAGTGTCTTAGACAAAAATCAGTCTCTTTTGTATTGTTTATACATACGACTTAGGGTTCCCCAAGTAGCGCACCTTACTTTGTTACATGATTACAACTATCTAATATCGGGACAGACTGAGTGGAGTAACCCACGGGATAGTATTTCAACGCATATGCGGGCGTACTGAATTGAGCTCTTGGGCAAGAAAATAACTCGTTGCCCTTTTCGGCTTTTATTTCCAATGACATCAGTTCATGAAGCAGTTTTTTTTTTATTAACGCGTGCTGCTGCCTGTTAATCGAATCTTGACGTATGCTTAAAGCGCCCGGTAACGTAACGTTCACGCGCTTGCACAATGGCGGCTGAACCTTTCTGTCGGTGACAGGTTTAACTCATACACATAGTAACCCTGACACTCTCTAACGCGTATCTGAACTGTCCAGTAACAACAGTTTAATAATCCGTGGAAACAAACTTCCCTCCCCACGATACTATCTACAAAGGTGGGATGTTCGCCATTCAGCCACCCAGTCAGATCAGAGTTGCATTTGCGAACCGGGATACAATTGTCTAGCCTTCTTGAGTATGAACTTGACTGGAAGCGGTACCAGCCGGAAAGATAAAAAATAAATGATAAATATCATGCCAACAGCAGATAGGAAGCAATACAACGGTATAAGGATGGTAACCAAGCACGGCTTGAAAACTATCTTCGCGCCGCTTCTCCCGACCTGACTAACAGCCCCTGGGTCTCTGAAGATGACCTTAGTGTATAGCTGGTTGTAAAAATATCTAGTACATATCTAGAATAATTCCTTCTAATCTATATTCTTTTGCACAAAAAAGAGAGAGAGAGAGATAAGGTTGAAACTGGATTGAGGGCCTCAGCTAGGTCAAGATAAATCATTTCCTTATTGCTGTAGCATTATTAACGACATGCGTAGTTTTCGCACGCGTAACGTCCTCGACATTATATCCCTTTTCTACGATCCAGAGTTCCTCAAGTCATATTAAAGGACCTGATACCGTTCATCCTCTTGCACAGTAGCGATACCTGCCTTCAGGTGACGGGTTTAACTTATACACATAAAACCCTTGACACTCCCTCACGCGTATTTGAACTATCCTATAACAACAGTTTTGCCATCCGTGGAAGCAGAGCTTCCCTGTCCACGATGCCATCTTTAAATGTAGGGTGGCCACCTTTTAGCCACCCAGTTATATCTGTAGTGCATCTGTGGACCTGAATACAATTGTCTACCATTCTTGAGTATGAACTTGATTGGAAGCGATACCAGCCAGGGACAAGATTGCTGTCTGAGTTAGTGCCTCGGCCAAAAGACTGGTGTCGATTGGGTTGACTGAGGACGTTATAGTCCCGGCACTCTGGTGCATCTGAATTAACAAAAAGGCAAAAGAGTTCCGCTATTTTGTATTCACATACAACACAAAGCCGAGGTGAACAGCTCTAACTAGAAGCTTGGGTATCTAACAATTTGAGCTGGTTGTTAGTTGTTGTTGTTGTAAATATTTAACAATTATTCCTCGAACCCGAATGGGCTCTGAGTCAATAGCCCATGAGGCCGAAGGCCGAAAGGGCTATTGACTCAGAGGCCATGAGGGCGAGAGGAATAATTGTCTTAGTAAAATCCAACTAGTTGGTCAAAAATATCGAGAATAAAAAACCGTTAGCTAGTTACAGCTAGACTTTAATCCCTTTTTGCCGCCGAAAAGCTCGCGCTTTTCGCCAGGAGATAAAGTGGGCTGTAACATATATATGCCTAGTAGTAGCTCAACCAATCAGAACGCAGCATTGATAATAGACCACTAGTTGGATTTTACTAAATCTTAATAGCTTGTTCATATCTCGAAAAGGTGCTTTTGTTAACTTGAAGTAATTCTACGTTAACTTACAGATTCCACACTCATCGTCAAAATATCCAGGAAGACAAGTGCAACTATACGTTCCCTCTCTGAACGAAATCAGGGAGCACATCCCATTGTTCATACAAGGAACATTAGTACAAGGATTCTGCAGGAAAAAAATCATTACATTAAAACACAATGATTGTGATTATAATGGAAACAAACGTTCTGCACTTCCTCATTATCAATGCTACCACTTTAATCCGAGGGCCTTTTAATACAACCAACAACCTTGACTGTTAGTAGCTTTTTTCGAAGTTCTCAAGCGTCATTTCTTGGTATAGTTTGTTCTACCAGTCAAATGCATCTTTGGTGGAAGTAATAAGTAAAACAGTCAGTTACTAATAGTATTTAGAAAGCTCTTCGGGATTACAAAAAAATGCCGGTTAACATTTGAAAGAAACAAAAAAATATATAGAAATCGAACAACCAGACATAAACCTAAAAACACAAATGTTAAGTGACTGAATCGAAGAATGCAGTAAAAATAAAAAAATAAAAATAACACCCGCTTTCAACGCTTTAATTGTTTTGCTCTTTTATATCTTCACTTCAAGAGAGAAAACTTTGCTTCATTCTTGTCTGTGTTCACCGTAAGTTGTAAAAAATGCGCAAATATATATTAGGTTACATCAAGTAATCGTAGGTTTGCTACTAACCTGTATGCTGTAATGGTCAAATTTAAAATTTAAAACGATTTCCCCAGTGTTTCTATAGATGCTAGATGGAAGAAGCTCGCACCAAAGTTTTTCTGCTGACGTCTCTGCCAAGCTGAAGGAAATACAGAGTTTGTTATGAACACAAGCAAAGCTACAGTCGAACTTGTCGTCGACAAGAAGAGTTTCCAGTGGTGTTATTTTGAGGTAGAGAGAATCGTGAAAAACAAATCGTAGCTCTATAAACTTTTCCCCGATCCCGTGTGCGTTTAAAACGTAAATGCAAGACACGAAAAGAAATGCCGATAAGAGTTTCATATCTTTTCTTCTTTGCTCTGCACTCATGAATTTTGTTGATTTTGGTTTCAGTGAAAGCAGCTCTCAGTGTTTCCTAGCTTGGAGTAAATTTAACTAATCAGACAAAACCACCAAGATCGTATTACTTCTGTCATTATAACTAGTACTGCAGAATGAAAAGATGCTTTGTCGGTTGAACGCCTGATTAGTACGTTAGTTAATTAGCTCCTTGATAGAAACAGTTCTTTATTTTAGGCCGCATGGTCTGACGATGAGTCTTAATTTCTGCGACCACAATTACATAAATTAAGCAGAATGATGTAACGTTGCAATAATACTTCACACTTACGTATATCAAGAGAATTTCGTGGACTCTGTAGAAGTCTTGAAGGAACTAATTCTCCGCTTTTCTAAGGTGGACGGTAGCGTATTTCGGGCACTGACTTGCTATGTGATATAGTTACAGTACCATATTCGGTAACCTTGAATTACAGCAAAGCGATATTTTCTTAGTCTGTGGGCTTCTTATGCTATGGGAGTGAGTAATCAGTTGCTGAGGCTTTTGCGGTATTGTGGAGTCTTAAGAATGCTGTATTTCCGGCGCGGGCTGAATATACTCCACACTAGAAACTAAGTAGACACCCGCATAAAAAAAAAACAGTGAATTTCGTGCGGGTGTCGACTTTATTCCACTGCTCTGAAGGAAGGTTAACTTCCTCGCACGTTTCCTGTAACCTGACTCCAGGGAGTTGGAACACCTGCTCCAATAAGTCGGAGTTGACGCTCTTCTGAATCCGTTAATGATATAATGACACTTTTTTTTCTATAAGATTATATATTTTATAAGAATATCGAGGCTGAATTTTCGAAATTTTAAGAATAAACCCAGGGCTGAGATTTGAAAATGATAATTGTGTTGAAAATCTGTTAATAAAATGCAATTAATATGTGTTTTTAACTTTTTTAATAGTTAACTCGATAAAACGTTCCTTTAACTAAACGGCAAAACTAGCCAACAAAACGAAAAAAAACAGCACTGAGTAAAGCCAAATGTTCAATGCTAATAACAGTTCCATGAAAAGTACACGTAATACTTATGGACCGTACAATTGTCCTAAGCTTTAATTTAAATAATACAAGAATATTTTCTGCTTTATCGGAAAGAAACCTCTAGAACCAATTCAGCCTGAAAAAATGAAGTCGGTTCTTATCCAAAATTACTAATTAAAAAGGATTTAAAAACAGCGGGGCAGTTTTAAGTACACTATTTATAGTTTGGTATTTTCCAAAAATACCCACACCTCCGATACTTAGAAGAAGGCGTTGGATTTTCCGAAGAAAATTTGGTGAATTTTCCATATAGGGGATTTGGTTTTAGTGCCAAATATTTCATTTAGCTAGTGTTTAGTGTGAAGATTGCACCTGCTAGAGTTGATCATTCACTAGTTAGAGGCAAATTTTTAGTCGTCACTGTAGTAGTTAGAGCGTTTCCTGAATACTTTTAGGAATCTTTCTTGAAAACGTCTTCAGGGTGTTTTTCTCACTACTTAAGCCGAAACGCATCAGCCTGGAACAAAGAATTAACAGCTTGTTTATTGTAGTTCTAATTTTCAGTTCTTCAGTTTCTCAGTCTTTATGTCTTAAAGCCGATTTGAGCTTTATTTGGAAAACGACAACACACAATCGATTTTTGGTTTTATTTATCAGTGAGTTTTACCGTGTTTTGAAACGAAACTCTTCTGAGTTGAGTGCCATGAAACATAAGCTTAATTATACTGTTGAGGTTGGCAGTAAGTTGACCACTCTATGTATTTTTTTTAATTCTCAGAATCAGAGAGCGAAAGCTGGTACGATGGCCGGGCTTTTAGAAGTCGAATTTTTCATGCCATGTATTTAGCAGCTGGAAGTTTCGTGTTTGCATGAGATGCAGCCAAGCCGCATAGTCTGAAATTACTGAAGTCTTCAACCAAAGAACAAACATGTAAAAGAATTAAATAGGCATTTTCTTGAATGAAAGTCATTTATAGACATGCTTAGTTTCCCGGTACTGAAAGCTCCGGGTGTCCGTGACTGCAGTCATCAAAGTCGAGGTTGTTATTAAATCCCGCACATCTTTTGTTTTGAGTTCTTGTTTTGTCTGATAATAAAAAAATTGTTCAACAGACTAAAATTTTATTTCCTGGTTCTCGTGTTAATGATAATTATGACGGCTTTTTCATAAGTATTGCTATTCTTTTCTTAGTTATCGCCTTCTCCCAAATTAACTTATGCCAAACCAGTAGCATGCAAGAAAGCCAGTAAAAACAACTTCGTCTTGTCGAGCGCTCTCGACCTGCAAACTTCAAACATCATTTTCACCGTTGGTGCAAACAGATAACCATGTGGTGCAAACGTTTGACACTAGAAAAATATATAAGCTATCGAATGAAGTGATTTTGCTCGCCCCCTTTTTTGTCTGTTTCTCCCTTTTTGCTTTCAAACTTGGCGCGACGGCAATGTTATGCTTACTCAATTAGTTTATATACTAGACCGGAAATAAAAAGCTGACCGGATGTTAAATTATGTGCTCATGCGCAGTGCGTTTTGCCGCGGTGTTGCTACACAGGCTATGTAATGCCAAGAGGCGAAGGCAACGAGAACGGTGAAAAAACAACAATAGGTCTAATTAGCAAAAAAGAAACTTTGCACGTGCAGCACACTTTTTTTGTACATTTCTTTGCCGTTGTTTTACACGACTTCAACGTGATACTTCCAGAAACGTCTAGTTTTATAGAGAAAATGTAACACGTTTTACGGACGTGTTTTTGTTCACTTTTTTTTTTCACCGTCGCTCATTTTCACCCTGATGGCCGCTAGCATCCCGCCGCTACAAAATTTCATGTTAAATTTGTGGACATGACAATTAATCTAAGCTTAATAGCTAAGAAAATACGGATACAGAAACATTTTCCCCTTCCCGTTTTCGTCTTTATTCACTCTTTAGTTGTCTCTGCTTCACAACACGCCGGACATTTGGCTAAATGGGTTGTAATGGAGGCTTTTTAATTCCAACTCTGTAAAGCAGCAAAAACAATAAAGTAGAGATCAACGTATGAAACTGATAGTAAAAAAAAGGTTTTCTAGGCAATTAATTTTTTTACATTTTCTTCCACAAATTTTTTCTGCCCGATTAAGGACGAGCGCTCCACCCGTGAAACACTGTCTATACTGATTAAGAAATACGCAATCTTAGATTTTTATTCAGTGCCTCATATAAAGGGCATTTACATCAGGCGCTCTAGAAAACAAAATATACTGAACATCTAAAGACACCTGGGGACGCTTTACAAGAACTCAGGGCTGATGTCAAGGGAACGCAATGATTTTTTCTCTCCAAAATATCTTAGTGTTTGAAGAAGAAAATATTGCCTAGACTAAATTTCCACCGGACGAGAAAAGGCTAGAAATTTCGAGATGACTTTTCCATTCATCTAAGATTTTCCCTTAATTTTTAGTGAACTTCCATGCGGTTTCACTTTAACTAAATACTAAGAGAAGGAAAGAGTTGTCAAAAATCTATACTTCAATTTCGTAAACCTCAAGCGGCTTTTAAGGATTAAGGTTCCGGGAAAAAATGAAAAACAAATTGGCGAGATGATTTATTTTATAGGGCCTCTTAAATTGAATTTGGTAAGAACTTTAAAAGCACTTTAGATACAGAATAAAAAACAAAAAAGAAGAAGTATTTGGGGAAAGTCACCATTTGGTATCCCCTGATAAGTTTTCATGTATCTATACCAACACCAAAACTGTGTAATTGCAAAGTAATATCAACTTTGATTGATCCCTCTTGATTCTTTGCAGCTATTATAATTGAAGTAACGTACCACACTTGGTCAGCCTTATATTAATATCTTGCCCCTTATTGTTAGAGCAGCACTGACGGGTGACGGACAGTGACTCCCATGTCGCAATTTGCATCCAAAGAGTACAATAAGTGCTAAAGCATGTAACGGGAAAAACAAACCTCTAATTGTAGACATCTCACCGACCATAATCCTCTGATTCGCTCTCACGAGGGCTAGTGCTCGAAACTACCAGCTTCTCATTTCCCCACGCTGGCCAATCTTTTCTATAAACCTTTGAAAAAAACAATCTTTGTATTTCACTACTCCACTGACGCTACACCACAGTTTCTTTAGAAACCTTACCCCTTTATTCATCTTTAACTTAATAGCCAATAATATAAGCGCCATATAGCAGATTAAATTCCTCGGAGAGGGAGACACCGGGGGTATGCAAAGGCAGGAGGCACAACGAAGATCTTAGAAAGAGTTATTCCATTACTGAGCCACGCAAAACATTATATGAATTACACCTTCCCTTGCTATGAAACTAAGGTAGCCTAGCTTTTTCAATCAAAACTTTCTCTTATCCTGGCGAAAGACAAAAGTAAACAGTTTCATTCACTTATAAAACTATGAAGTACTTTTAACAATGCTAAAAAAAAACGAAAATATTTTGCAGATAATTTTTAAGGGGTTTGTCATATTGCATGGTAACAGTGTCCTTTCTTAACTACCGGTAACTCAACTTTTTTTTAATAAGATAATTACTTAATATTTAAAACAGCCGCTTCCCTTTTAGTAAATGTATTATTATTAATGACCTATTTACTTTAAACGTAAAAAAATGTATCGATCTAAATGCGCAAATTTTTCTCGATAGAGCAATGATTTTGAGATTATATTCTTTTTTCCTTTAAAGTATTTTAAATATTTTTACTTGATCACCTCCTTTCAATTAATGCTGCATGAGTAGGCTATCTTTAACTTGTAAATGAAAGTTCTTATTAGAGACTTTTGTGTTTTCTTCTTGCTTATTCAGGTGCCTCGGTTTATTACTTGGCTGTTAATGATTGTTAGCTCCTGATTATGCAAGATGCACAGCTGTGTCAGCATAACTGCACGATTCCAACCAAGAGCCTGAAAACGTGAGAATATCTAGGAAGAGGCGCCAGTCTTTTATCGGATGTTCGCCTCAAAATGCCAATTTTTTATGCTCTAACCAAAAAGAAAAAGAGAAAACTAAATTAAAACCAATAAATAAACAAATACCAAAACAAAAATTGCAAAAAACCCAAATTGCACTCCGCTTCAATAGTAACTGAGTTTTTCAATAGCTGTGTTATTTATACTTTTTTTATCATCGTTTTGAGCGGTTTTTTATGTTTTACTCAATATGGCAGCGGTTCTTACCGTTTGAAATTTGATAACTGATCAATTACGGGACACACTTGCTCCCCCCCTCTCTCCCCCATTATGCTACAAAAGAACTGAATAGAAAGTTATTTGCATTGTCGATAACAACTTGTTATCACAGTCTGCTAAACAGTCAGGGAGTCTTAAAATGTAAAATTTAAAACGAGACAGATTTAGCCATTAAATTCGGAACCAGGCAGGCACTGAATGAATTTCCGAATTAAATATTAAACAATTTTATTAGTTAGATGAGGTTTTTGTCATATTCGGCGGGAAAATCAAGGTCGAGGTAAGAGTTATTAATCGAGCTGAAGGCGAAAACTTACCAAGACCTCGATTATTCCGAATATCACAAAAGCCTTAATCAAAAATTGTTGCTTTGCACTATTTTCTCCTGTTTGAGGCAGTTTAACTGGTTGCCAGACTGGTTTGTTCACAACTGAAAATTAAAAGTACTTAGGATCGTATTGATCGTCCATTTTGCTTGCGTCTAAGAAACATGGAACACCAAAGGGTTATTATTTCACTTCTAATTATGCAGATTTACACACTAGAAATTTTCTGTTGCATCATTTTAACCTTACCAGCGGCATTCCATAATGATTATATATCGTCAAAATTCTGGTAGAAAATGACTTAAAAACAGATATTTTTGGTTCTTGTCCATAAGTATCCGGATCAATTCGAAAAACTTGTTATTTTTTGGCTTATGGGCCTTAAAGATTTGAGATAGTGATTATTTTAGATGATGTAGCATGTAATGTTTGATCTCACGAGGGCTGCAGCTTGCTTATTTTAAGACAATATCTTATTATATGTAACTTTTTTCTTCACTGACTGAATGTTTAAGCCAATAATTTTAGAATACCACTTACTATAATATCAGTCGGCAAATGCTCTCGAAGAACACATTCAAACAACATCATTAGCAAGATAGTAATTTAGAACATTAAGAAGGAGTGCGTGTTGAGATAGCCCTCCACAATAAACTGATTTAAGAGGATGACGAGGAAAATTGTAAAATTGTTTAGAGAAACCCTGTTGCTAGAAAGAAGAATTTGATTAGCATGTATCGCTAATACAGGCTGCATGTTAAAGTAGACCGAAATGTTTACAAAACCGCTAACAATAGTACCTCGATACATAGTTATCAAATTCTTCTTTCTAGCAATCGGCTGGAGCTATCTCCATGACCTTTCACACTCGTTTTTTAAAAAAGTGAAACAACTATGAGGTACCCTGCGAGCAGAGGCTACATTTCCGCTGTGTGAGCTGTCGTGCAAAAAGTAGCTTAAGTGAAATTGCAGGTCAAACGTGCTTCGTTTTCTACAGATAACAGCTGAACATCAAGATTGCCCATTTTTTACAGTATTTCTAACTATAAAAACTTCATTCCAAAATGTCTCGATAACTTTCTTGCAGATTTCGCTCAAACTATGTATTCAGTGTATTCGAGCCTAAGGCTGCGTGCAAACCGGCGCAACAAAGTTGGGAGTTGTTGCGCCGGTTTTCACGCAGCCTTAGGCTCGAATACACTGAACTTTGTTGCGCCAACAATGTTGGGAGTTGTTGTCTGAAAAGTTTGACCGGTTTCAAACTTTGCGCAACAACACGCAAGAACATCCAACAACATGCAACAGGGTGTGCAAACGGACGCAACATGTAACATACAAGGCAATGTTGGTAGTTGTTGGCCAACAATGTTGCGTCCGTTTGCTCGGGGCTTAACACATACTGCTAACAACCAAACTGCTCTATGTAATGTAACCATGTATTATCGAAGTTTGTGTTGTTTGGTGCTGATAGAAGGTTGCAAACCTGCCAAGGTGTTAAGCTTGTCATTGATCACGAAAACCTTGAGAGTGAAGATTCAATCAAGCATCCACATTGTAGGTGTTGTCATTCATAAGAATCTGACTTGGAATGAGCATATCGAAACATTGATTGCGAAAGTGAATCAAAGATTTCGCTTGTTAAATCGTATCAAACATCTATTGCCTTTGGATGCGCGAGTCGCATTATACAATGTTTTAATAAGACCTCTCTCCGACTTTGCTGATACCATCTGGGGAGACAGAGATAATATTACATTAATGCATGATTTACAGGTCTTGCAAAATTAAAGGCTGCCAAAGTTATCCTTGATTTGCCCAACGATGCTTCATCTACCGACGCTCTCAAAACACTCGGATGGCCTACCTTATTTCAAGAGCGCCTTGTACATAGATACATTACCACTTTTAAGTACATCTACGGACTTGTAGACCACAATTTTAATATTTTGAGAAACTCAGACATCCATGGTTATAACACTAGACTGAGAAGGAACGATTTCCGTCTTCCTCTCGTTAAAAGGAATTACGGAAAGCAGAGACCTTTTTTTATCAAAGCGCTAAGGAATGGAACATTTTAGACGAATCGTTTAAAGGAATTAACAATCTTCTTCATTTTAAACAGAACATTAAAAGCTATATATTTTAGATATTTTATAGCTTTTAATATTTTAATCTATCTGACTTTTTAACATTTTTAACCTGTAGCTTGTATAATTTAGGTTTTTAGTTCTTAACTTTTTAAAACGGTTTCCGTCTATGGGAGCTGTTTAAAAGCAAAAATTTGCAATTACAAAGCAATAGATTCGAACAAAAAATATTTGAAGAAATAATAAAGAAAACGTCGGGTGATTAGATATTTCCTGTTGTAACTTGTATAGAGCAAACCTGTTAAAATCATGATCAACAGAAAAATCTGTTGCTGTAGTTGTTTTTTGCCACATTTGCTAATTCCTTATGAGTCAAGGAGGGGGGTGCTCGGTTTTAGAGGGGCGAGGGGGTGCGCGTCCGAATCTAGATCCGCCAACCTGAATCCTTTATCGGCTACTGCTTAACCATACAAGGTCAAACTGACCCCACATTGCTCACTACCAAGCTATCAAGCTGCACTTTTAGCCCAACATATCCATGCACGTAACTGCAAAGGTACAGGTAACCCCCCCTTACAATGCGCACTTACGCCAGGATTTACTGGTGTATCCTCCAAAAATGTATCTCCCGACCCTTATTATTGTCACAGTCGGGTCCTTGCCGTCACATTGGGAGTGAAATGTACTTGCAGCCCAGCCGTCCACGAATGCACGCCAACAGCGTTGCCAGAGAGAATTAACGCTTTTTGCCACAGGTGCTAGCCATTTGTTTAACGAGGTTAAGTAATTATTGTTGCTTCCCACAATAACGGAGTCTTGCAAAATCTACTTCTTTTTTTTTTTTTGCAAAAGATCAGTGTTATGGCCAAGAATATAATAAGAGCTGTTTAAAACCTCTTCAACAGTTTATTACCTTGCCATGTGTAACGGTATCCGAGTGACAAGAGACTGGATATCAAGTGCCACTTTATTTTCTGGAGAGGAAATTCTTAGTATTTCAAATTTAAACTTTAGTGAAGGCTCCCCTCTCCTTTTCCCTTTAAGAACCTGCTACTCGGAGGTCAACCTATAACAATGACACTCTTTTTATAACAATATGAAAGACCATAACTGTCAGTCCTATACAAAATTAACTTAAGAAGTCTGAGTGATGTTGTGATTATGTCCTAACATATTTGTCTTGAACTGGATATACGAACCTCCTTAAAGCCCCTTCAATCTCTACAATCTGTAACCATGGTCCCCATTAAGGATTATGTTACATGTCACTAAATGTTCCAGTTATGTCTGTACAGACCTTGCATGGGCGGATCTAGGGGAGGGTGCAGGGAGTGCGCACCGCACAAGTGACCTGCGACTTTCTAATACAACTGGTATTCTGTACTATGTGGTTTATTGCTGTTGAAGTAAAACATGAAGCGAGGTTGAAGCATTTATGTTAAACGCCGTAAAAATGGTAGTTTGGCACTGAAAAATCCTTGTAATAGGCTCCTGGTTTACATCACGAGTCTGTCACACCATCCCTTAGTGGTGCAACTCTACCTTAGAAAAATCCTGGATCCGCCCCTGCTGCCTTGCCGCCTAGGACAAACCTGCAGCTGAGCTGCGCTGTACTGCCACATTGATTCTGGCCTTCTTCGTTCCAATGATATTTGTTGCCACACTTTCGTACAAACCGTTGTCAGCCGGGGGTAGGTTCTTAATTGTTAATGTACCCCTGTTTACCTCACATTTTCGCTGTGTGAGCTGTCGTGCGAAAAGTAGCTTACTTTTCGCACGCCAGCTCACACAGTAAAAATTTAGCCTCTACTCGCAGGGTAAATATGAGGTGAAATTCCATGTTAAAAGCGCTTCGTTTTCTACAGATAACAACCGAACATCAAGATTGTCCATTTTTTACCGAATTTCTAACCATAAAAACTTCATTCCAAAATACCTCGATAACGCTCTTGCAGATTTCGCTCGAACTGTCTATTTAGTGTATTCGAGCCTAACACATACCTAACAACCACGTTGCTCTATATAATGTAACACTGTATTATGTTCTCTAACATTTCGTAGCCTCTTTTCATACAGCTGCTAAGAATTTTGTACTTATAAGCTTAGTGGGACAATCGATTTTAGAGATTGTTTAATATAGTTATTTTTAGTGATCATCAGATAATGCATATTTAAGAAGACACAACAAGCTCATTACTTAAACATAAAAGCCGGTTGTAACTCATTAGAGTTATTTAAGTTGTTTTGTAAAACGTTTCTATTTCCCCTGGTGTGAACTGGTATGTTCCTGCCAGGAATGTTCGTGCGAAGGTGCTTGTGTAGCTGTATCCGCTCGGTAGGCTGTAAGTATGGCCAAGCTCGCTATATGAATTGCGATTGGATGACGCGTAGTTTGATATGTAAATGTCATGTCCTCCTCCGAATACAGGCCCATATGATGGGTTATTGTATATGGAATATTGCCTTCTGGAGCTATATTTCCCTTCTGTCTGAGGCAGCTTGACGGGTGCCCATCCTGGCTTGTTTACAAGTGAGAATAAAAAGGCGTTTGAGTCGTACCGATACCAAGAGCCAGAACCTACAAGAAAATAGAGATGGAATAAAAGTGCCATTTGGAGTATTTTTTCTGATACAGAAGGTAAATTAGAGCGTCTGCGACGCAGGCAAAATGAATACAAGACACATCAAAAAAAAAATAATAATAACCCATGAAGTGTGTCGAGAGTTTAATTCCTATCTGGAACTCAGGCCTTTTTTTAGTTCTTTTCTCAACATATATCCGTGCATTAACAATATAAATAAACAAAACATACGCGTTCGGCCAATTTGAAATACACGGCCGATTACCACCTGAATTGAAATCCACTCATGATCAATCATATTACCCTGCTTACATCTATACCCTCGACAAGAATAACTCCAAACACATCCAATTAAAACGAAAAAATGTAAATCACTGGGTCGCCTAGTAATATACAATTAGTGGAAAAAAAATTTACAGATACTAAGTGCTTTATAAATTATTGATAAAATAACCATGAGAATGTGTATACTTTGTGTTTATCACGCAGTGTCTTATTTTGTTGCTTACAATAAAACCTCCAACAAGCAGCCAATTTTTGAACGGGAGATTAACATTCGGGGTCCTGAAACCTAAGAGACTGTGCGCTTACGGGAGCAAAGGTTTCCGTCAATGGGAGCTGTCTAAAAGCAAAGATTTGCAATTACAAAGCAACTAGATTCGAACAAAAAAAAATTAAAACAATAATAAATGAAACGTCAAGTAATTAGATATTTCCTTTCGTAACTTGTATGGAGCAAATCTGGAAAATCATGATCTGTTGTTGTTGTTTTTTGCCACATTTGCTCATTCCTTGTAAGTCTAGGAGGGGGGGGGTCCTCGGTTTTGAGGGGCGGGGGGGCGCCTCCGAATCTAGATCCGCTAACCTGAATACTTTATAGGCTGCTATTTAACCTTGCAAGGTCAAACTGAATCCACGTTGCTCAGTACCAGGCTATCAAGCTGCACTTCTAGCCGAACATATCCATGCAAGTAACTGCAAAGGTAAGGTAACCGTCCCTTATAACGCGCACTTACCCCAAGATTTACTGGTGTATCCTCCAAAAATGTATCTCCCGACCCTTATTATTGTCACAGTCGGGCCCTTGCCGTCACATTGGGAGTGAAATGTACTTGCAGCCCAGCCGTCCACGGATGCACACCAACAGCGTTTCCAGACAGAATTGACGCTTTTTGTCACAGGTGCCAGCCAGTTGTTGAACGAGGTTAAGTAATTATTGTTACTTCCCACAATAACGGAGTCGTGCAAACCTGGGAGGAAAAAATCTACTTTTTCTATTTGGCAAAAGAACGCTGTTATGGCCAAGAATATGACTAGAACTTTTTAAAAATTCCTTAACAGCTCATTTCCTTGCCAGGTGTAACAGCATCCAAGTGACAAGAGACTGGGTATCAAGTGCCACCTTATTTTCTGGCTAGGAAATTTTCAGTATTTCAAATTTAAACTCTAGGGAAGGCTCCCCTCTCCTTTTCCCTTTAAGAACCTGCTACTCACAGGTCAACCTATAACAATGACACTCTTTTATAATAATATGAGGAACCATCACTGTCAGTCCTATACAAATTTAACTTAAGAAGTCTGAGTGATGTTGTGACAATGTCCTAGCATACACAATGTCTTGAACTGGATAAACGAACCTAAATGGTCCTTCAGTATCTATACTCTGTAACCATGGTCTCCATTAAGGATTATGTTACATATCACTAAATGTTCCATTTATGTCTGTGCAGACCTTGCATGGGCGGATCTAGGGGGAGGGAGCAGGGGGTGCGCATATAATACAACTAGTATTCTGCAAAAACTAAAAATAAATAACAAAAATGATAATAATAATAATAATAATAATAATAATAATAATAATAATAATAAATAATGTGGTTTATTGGTGTTCAAGTAGTTTGGCACCGAAAAAGCCTTGTAATAGGCTCCTGGTTTACGTCACCAGTCAGTTACGCGATTCCTAAGTGGTGCAACCCCACCTTAGAAAAATCCTGGATCCGCCCCTGCCTTGCCGCATAATACAAACCTGCAGCTGAGCTGCGTTGTACTGCCACATTGATCCTGGCCTTCTTCGTTCCAATGATGTTTGTTGCCACACATTCGTACAAACCGTTGTCAGCCGGTATCAGGTTCTTAATGGTTAAAGTACCCTTGTTTACTTCAGTCCTGCCGGCAGGAAAAGGTAGCACCGCTCGAATCCAGTTTAGTGCAGGACGAGGATGGCCTTCAGCTTGACAGGTTACTTGAAAGGTTGTGCCTTGTACTGGTGTGGCAAGTAAAGGTAGAACTTTTGTGAAGATTGGAAGACCTGAAAAACAATTATCTGGTTTATACTATGAAGCCCTCATATAGTCTAAAGGATTGCAACTGAGAAAGATGACAATACATAAAATCTTTTCTTTTTCGGGAAACTTTGTACAAGATGTGCATCTGTATAACAGAAAAGAAACGAGAGAAGAAACAAATTTAAATAATTCGTTAGCACTCTGTTAGTGTCTTTTTTTAGAATTTGAAGTCATGGCTACAAAAAGTGTGAAAGGGTCACGAATCGACCTTTGCATTTTACGGTGTTTCTTCAGTGAGGCACCAGGAGTGGCTCAATTAACTCTAAGGTAAGAAGACAAGGGGAGTGTGCCCGATTAGTTCACCACTTGTGTTGCGCTAGAAGCGATGACAGGTTAATAAAGTTATTGATTGATTGATTGATTGATTGAGGATGGTGCTCTATGCCTTTACATCTTACAGGATTCCTTAGATGTTTTTAAAGGTAGTGTTCAATTCTCGCGACCTTACCTTGAGAGGACATGTAACATATTGCTGGTTTTCAGTGTCACGCCATCCAAAATAGATCAAAATAAACATCAAAACCGTTCAATAGATAAACTCCAGAATCTTGGGAATGAAAGGAGGTACATATACAAAGACCCTCGCCAAGATTCAGGTCAGAGGAATATTTCGTATACGAGATATCGGAAGAAATGCTTTACCCAAACTTATAGAGATTTGTATGGAGACGCCATGCTCGTGCTCATCCGGATGAGCTCCAACATGGCGGACCGAAGCCAAAAGAAACATCTGTTACCGAGTTTTGCTACAAAAGCGTGAATTTATTCTTCGAGAAACTCATAAACATTAAAGTAATACTTTTTCTAATACATGAACTGTTTAGATAGCAAAATTTCCTGAAATAAGTCATTTTTTTAACCAACATGACAGCTCTCTTGGCCGTCATGTAAATGCCGCGTCACACAAAAGCTTAGAAATTCAAGCTTACTCTATCACAAAACCAAGAACCCTTCTGAGGCGAAAATTTGTACGAAAATTAGTTTTCAGCCGCTCTAATTTATCGTGAAAGTAAAATCTCCGTAGGATCGATAGTTTTTTAGTTTGAATTTTAGTGACGTCATTTGAAAACCAACAATACTGACATGACAAACAGAATTTAACGGCCTGCCATAACAAACTAAAAAAATGAAAAATTTCTCTCTCACCTCGAACAGACAAGTTACCAGTTGCCTCGGACGATCCAAGAATGTTTCTGGTAGCACATGTGTACGGTCCAGCATCGCTGTAATTCAGATTTCTAACGATCAATTCTCCTTCCTTAATCAAATACTTTGCACTTGGCTGAAGTTTTCTGCCTTTAAATTGCCATTCCACGACTGGGGAAGGATTTCCGGCGACCGTGCAATAAAATGCCGTATTTCCTCCCTCGTCTCGTGTCTGCTCTGCCGGTGATAAAATCACTTGTGGAGCAGATATCGATTTCCCAGGCCTTCCAGGTGGCCCCGGAATGCCTTTTGGCCCAGGGTCTCCTTTGTCTCCCTTTTCTCCTCTCGGTCCTGCAGGACCAGTTATTCCTGTTTTTCCGGATTTTCCAGGTGGTCCCATGGGACCTTGAGGACCTTTCTTTCCCTTTGGTCCCCTCCTGCCACGTGGTCCCCTCGCTCCAATGGGACCAGGATATCCGGGGGGACCGGCAGGGCATACCTTCTCACTTGACTTACAGTACTTGGTGGGCATAAGTTGTTCAAACTGTTTGCTGATTTCTTTTCTCACTTCTTGTATGGTGATGCCAGTTGAAGTATCGTTCAAAACGTTTCTTCGCTTTCTTACCCGGATGGTTGCTGATGCCTTTATTGGCAACGGGCTGACTGCGGTAAAGTAAAATTAGATAATACCTGTTAATTATCCACTGATAAATTGTAATCAAAGAAAGACTGTCGTCAGCTCGTGGGTACGTTGTTTAGAAAATAATCAATTAGTTATCACCTCTGGTTTTCTCACAGTAAATTTTAGGAAATGATAGAAATTCATCTGCAAACACAATACTTTTCTTGCTGTTTGTTGCACTTTGTTAACAGTTATTTAGGTATATATTTAAAAACAAAAAAAACAAAAAAAAACAAAAAAAAAAACAGCAAAACAAATAAGCAAACAAAACAAAACAAAAAAGGAAAAAAGAAGGTCCTTAGCAGAATTGGAACCCGGTACCTTCGGGTTGACCAGACATCACGTAGCCACTACGCCATTGAGGATGATCACATAATTAGGTGAAAAGTCTCAAGTTTAATACCTTTTCCATGGAACTTCCGCCGGCAAACGATCGAGCCATACTCAACCAATTGAAAAAAAGACTCCAAGCAATCGGATGAAATTAAGGCTAATTGAAACCAGGCTATTGACAGTAAAAAACAATGTAAACTCATTTCATGGCAATTCAAAGCAATGAAACAACATATGCGATCCAAAGCCGACACAACTCCTCCGCGAAGGAGGACACAAAACATAAGCTGATGTTTTCTTATCTCGATTTCCGCCGTCATTTTAAAGCTAATGCTTAAAATCACATTCATTTCCCCATGTGATCTTGGGGAGTCCTTAAGAAGAAAAAGAAGAAGTGCCTTTATTTACCATACATTCATTCATACACATAACCTACTACATTACTACAAGGTAGGAGATAAAGCCAGCGTCGAAGTTGAAGGAGTCGAAGAGCAAATGCTCATCTTCTCGTCAAATGTAACGCCTGGGCGAGTCAAAGGCTCTTGAATCGTACTAATCTGAAAGATTCTTGCGTGTCTTAACTGTCATCTAACCGTGCGGTAGCGCACGATGCACGCTCTCAGCGACGAATCTGATGCCACCGAACTTCGGCGAGCGCGTGCTTCTTTGGAAACGATAGATCTTCGCGCTTTTGAGTTCGGACCCGATTAATTACGAAGTGCGTCTACTACGAGTGAGCGAGTGACTCATTTACATATCCCTGTCCCTTCAATAACTCGTGACAGTACGCTCGCGCGTACCCACGAGTTAAAAATGAGCAAGACCGAGAAGGAACGAAAGAATGATACGGCCCACATTTTTTCAAATTAGACTGAACTCCTTTGAAAGAAACGGAAATATCTCCATGAATAATCTCTTAATACACGCCTTTTGTCTATACTGATCTATAATGTCTATACTATTCGAAAATTTATCCAGAAAGAGCTAAACGAAAATAGTTCAATCTAAAGCAAACAGATAAATCTAAAAATGAATTGCCAAGAATTGGGTCATTATTACTTGAAATTGGTCACGCAATACCCTTTCAATTCCGAGACCTCAAGTAACCTCAAACCAGAAGCACATGCAGCCCCCACTTAAAGAAATGTTTAAGGAACCTCATCTAATGTCGTCTAGCTAAAAATCCTAAAAAGACAATCTTGTTGAAAAGCTGTATAGTAATGGAGGGGGACATGGGGGTTTACTGTATTGCGGTATTGAGCTTTTTTTCAAGCGGTATTTCGGTGATTTTGATTTCAATGTGCGGTAAATTGCGGTATCAACTAGCCCTGCGGTATGCGGCTTTTCATCCTTTTGGGTAATGGTATTCGGTAAAAGAAGATCCTTCATGGTATTGCGGTACTGTTCATTTTCGCTCTTCTGTCTAAAGCAGGTCAATATTAAAAAAAGAAAAAACTGGTAGGGAATCCAAAATCATCTAATGACCGAGCTTTTTAGATGGTTGTACCGATCAATTTGAGGTCTTCTCACGTTTTTGCGCAATGGCTGAGGTTGATTGATGGTGCATACATGCTTACGATAAACAGAACATGAGATTGTTACAACTTTAATTAAGCGTGAACGATCATAATTGCAGTATCGGTATTTCGTCGATTTTCAACACGGTATTTCGGTATTTGCCAATTTTTGTTACGGTATAGCGGTATTGGGTACACCCAGTGTCCCCCTCGTAATGATATCGACTATCTGGCGCGTGAAGGAATCTTGCTCTGCTCTTGTAGACACATTATTTATAAATTCAACTTCATTTACGCTGTAGATCTCTTCGGTTTTTTATCAGTGGCAGTGGCATAATTACTGACATCTAGGGAGCATTACAAAACAGTTTCATACAGTCTAAGTTAAAATCTGATACTATTTTGGAATTGCAAAAGATCTCATGTTGTTAACGCGAACTCACGTCATGAAAGTTTATGTCTTAACCGAGGGAGGATAGAAGCAAGCCGTCTAAACATCCTCAAAGTACATAAGGCCATCCAAGTAACAAGAGTAAGAATAAATTTTACCTGAGGTATAGCCGTTCCCATCATCTGAAACTTGTGTCTGCATCTCCTTGGAAAGGTCCATTGCGATATCTTTTGTCGGTGAGAAAATCATCCTGTCAAGATTATCAATCGTGCCACGCTTAGTGCAAGGAACACAGTAAATACGAGATTCCAGTGAAACCAGTCGTTCGTTTGTTCCTTCATTTTTCACCCAGAGACATCCGCAAACTAAAACTAATACCAACGAAAGGAACGATGGTCTAATTGACGGAACAAACTCAAGGACTCGTTGAGATTTTGAAGAGTTTACGGTTTTCATTTTTGTAGTTTTACGATCATTTTCTTTTACAGCCACTCGAAGACAGAAGTTTGAGGGAATGTTGCAAGATAAACCTGATCCCTTCTAATTTAGCCCAAAAAAACAAGAGTGTTAGTTTACATTAGATTGACGTAAGCCAAGCTATTCTGCCAGTGGTAACTTTTCTCTTGTTGCACTCAAACGGGGTCAGTAGGGTGTTAGTAGCGTAACTATCTCACATTGTAAATAAGTATTGTTTTGTAAGTAGAGAATAGTTTTGTTAGTAGCGTAAGTACCATACATTGTTTGTAAGTAAATATTGTAAGTAAGTACTTTGTAATTGAAAATAAATAATAATAATAATAATAAAAAAACTTTTCTCTTGTTCCCCCTAAACGTGGTCAAAGTTCCAACAGTTTCCGTATTCAGTCTAAAATATTGCAGAAATCAAACATTACGTTTACTGGAAAAGTAAGAGGTTGACCACGTGACCATTGGCTTTTAACACGGAGAGCATAAAGTTTCTCTTTTTTTAACAAACATTCGAGTATGAGTAATTTTATTTAATTCCATTTAATTCCAAAGTTGCAAGTTAAACTTGATCCCTTCTCATTAAACCCATAAAAACAAGTGTATTAAATTAGCTTACATTAGATTGACGTAAGACGGGCTGCTCTGCCAGTTGTTAACCTTGCTCCTGTTGCACTCAAACGTGGTCAAAGTTCCAACAGATACCATATTTTAAATTATTGCTCAAATCAAACATCACGTTTACAGGAAAGGAAACAAGTTTGACCACGTGACCATTAACCCTCATTACTGATAACGTTGAGAGAATGAAGCTCGCTTTTTATGACAAACATGAGTAATTTTATTGAATTTTAATTCTTGTCTATACATTAACAATTAATACTAGCCCGTAAATGTGATCTTTTATCTACTTATATCTGTAAAAATTTCCTGTAAGGGTACATTTTATTATTAGTAAAATCCAACTAGTGGTCTATTACCAATGCTGCGTTCTGATTGGTTGAGCTACTACTAGGCTATATGTTATAACCCACTAGTGGCGAAAAGCGCCGGCTTTTTGGCGGCAAAAATGGATTAAATTCTAGCTTTAACTACTGTAGCTTAAGTTGTTTTGTCTCGATATTTTTTTTTACCTACTAGTTGGATTTTAGTAAAACAATTACTCCTCGAGCCCGAATGGCCTCTGAGTCAATAGCCTATTCGGCCTCATAGGCTATTGACTCAAAGCCCATTCGGGCTCGAGGAATAATTGTTAAACATTTTATATAATAGGTCAGTCATAAAGGATACTGATGTGCCTTCGATTTTATACGTAGGGCTTACATGATGTAGTAACCCAACGCTGGTAAATTTAATTACTACACTGCAAGAAGGCGATCGGGATTGTCACGTGACTGCAAGCACCTAGGCTTTTGGCATCTTATTCGTAAAACACTCGTAGATGCCCTAAATTACTCTCATCAGCATGGTGAGTTATCTAGTTCACAAAACAAGGATTGATTTCTCTGTTAGAAAAGAAGGAAAAAGATAAGAAATTGCGTCCAAAGCTATCGCAAGACTATTAGGAGCAGTAATGCCATTACTTTTTCCCGCCAGTCAAAACGGTTTCATAAAAGACGATCATTTTAGACGCGGTACACACTATCGATGACGTTCTTGAGATCGGCAGTGCCAAATTGTCTTCAATGGATTAGGACTATCTATAGGAACTTGTCAAGCTGTGTACTAAATAATGGCTTTACAACTGATATCTTTTTTGTTAAACGTGGGGTAAGACAGGGTGATCCTCTCTCTGCTTTATTGCTCATTCTTAAGTTGGAAACGCTTTTATGTCAAATTCAAGAAAAAAATACATATTAAATATATTCAAAACGACTATTTTTGCCGACGATATGACCTGCTACTTGAGAGATAAAAATTCATACTTTCATCTTCAGACATCTTTACAAACTTTAGCCAGATACTCAGGCCTTTGTGTAAATCAGATGAAAAAACAGAGATTTTTGCTATTAGTCCGCACAGTCTTGTTCAAGATGTTTTTACTCACAAAATACGTAATATGATCAAAATGTTGGGAGTTTATTTTAATTATGATACCCAAACTAGATTAAAGGCCAACTGTGAGTCCATCTTTATTTCAATCCAAGGAACTTTAAATACCTGGAAACGTAGGGGCCTTACCCTGATAGGAAAAAATTCAGATTGTAAAGTCTTTTATTATCCCGAAATTTCTTAGCAAAGCAGCGTTGATCTCAGTACCTAAAGACCACGTTAAAGAAATCAACAAGTTGATTTATCACTTTTTTTGGAAAGGAAATGATAAAATCTGCGCTAATAAATGATATTAATTATGGTGGTTTAAAAATGTTAGATATTCATTCAATGATTTGCGCTCTGAGAGTAATGGTATTAAAAAAATACGCAGACGAGGAATACCATAGCTCTTGGAAAATAACCCTGGATTATTTCCTGTCTGGGGTAGGGGGTATGTTCATCCTCCACTGTAATTTCGATACAAAAAAAAAACTCCCAATTTACCTTTTGCGTTTTTATGAAGAATGATGTCTAGATGCCTCAGGTCTCGGCTAAATAAACAAAATATTCTTTCAAACGCTGCGAACCAAGTAATTTGGAACAATAAACACATTATCATCAGGAAGCATTCGGTTTTTGAAAAGCATCTCCTAGAAGAAGACATTTGAACTGTAGGCGATCTTTTCGCTAGAAGGGTTAACAGGGACCACTCTCCGATTGACGGTTTTAAGTTAATGGGTCTTATGGACGCGGTACCTGTTGAATGGAGAAAACGTGTCATTTGTAATACTCGTCCCGAATTGAGGAACAAGGTCTACCTTAAAATTGATGGCGCTGATGTCGATCTGTCTTCGGTTACGCCAAAATCCAAGGGCACCCAGCGACTTTTTTCTGTAAAATATCTTTTCGAAAGAGCAAATATTGCCTAGAAATTTCTAAAGCTTAAGAGAAGCTAAAAATTTCTGGATAACCGTTCCATTCGTCTAAAATATTAGGAGGTTTTCTAATAGCTTTACTACGGTTTTTGGAGGTTGTGTTACTCACATTTCAATACCAAGATATTGCAATTATTGTTCAAAAAGGTATCCTACAACTTTCGGTATAAAGACAAAACGTCCTCTAAAATTTTCTAATGAAAGCGAGGCTACTTCATGTCCTCGAACTTTCGACCGGACCCATAAGGGTAGCTAACGCTTTCGGATGAGACGAAAAAGTCGCCTAAACCTTTTACGTGACGACCAAAGTTCGCCTACTCCGAACAGATAAATTGTTTTTAGGGCAACTCCAAATTAACCAATCAGGCTTCTAAAACATAGAGAAAAATCATCTGAGACACTTCTGGCGTATTTGGAAACATTCGGTCGTTGGGTGCCACCTGAAAATCTCTTTACCATGCATTCAAAATGGCGAAACAAACTCCTCCATCTGCTCAAAAGAGGTTTCAGGATCAATTTCCTGATGTTCAATTTGATAGGAACGAAACATATTCGCTCTCCCTTAAAGTGTCGCTAGAAACAAAAATAGAGAATGCCAATATGGTTTTGAACAACATTGTTTCCACGAATGAAAAGTTATCTAAAATTAAGATGACTGATTCGCCACAATGTACCTTTTGTAAAAACGAGATTGAATCCCTTAAGCATCTGTTTTACAGTTGCGAAATAACAAGATCCTTCTGGGTAGTGCTCCGTTCTTGGCTTATGGAATGTAATATCAATTGGAACCCGGCCTTTGTCGTTTTTTAACGTCTTATTTGGCATATTCAACGCAGGAGAAGATTTTGTCATTGTAAACAATCTTATTTTAGAGGCAAAGTTTTATATTTATCGCTGTAAATTAAATGGTGTTAAACCAGCAATGCGGTTCTTAAAAATAGAAATCGGAGCGATACACAATATAGAAGGTAGAATAGTATTTATGAGGAATAAGGTAGAATTCCATGACAAAAAATGGGAAAAAATCAAATGTTGTCTCAATTGAGTCTATCCCCCCCCCCTGTTTTTCTCTCTTTCTGTTATTGTTATTTGCATATTTCTGTTGTCGCGGATACATATACATTTGATTTTCTTTTCAGGATTAAGTGTAGTATTGCTTCTAATTATGTAAAGTTGTAACGCCAGTATCAAATTGTAATTTGGTGTCCCCAAATTAGTAAGGGATTCTTTTTTCCCTGGCTAGACGGCTTTAACACTTTAATAGCGGAGCTCTCGCGCGCGAAGCGCGCAGCGGAGCACCATGGGTAAAAAAATGTGGGAAACTACCCATCCGAGAAAATTTGGTAATCACGTGACCGTACACCGACCGCCCGCCCGACCGTCCGTCCGCACCACAGACATACCAATGTAAAATAATTCAATTAACAGGTATGGCAACCCAAATGCAACTCAAGGTTTTATTTGGAAAGAAATCGCATGGCCGCCCGGACTTTTAGAAAGAAAAAACAACAACAAAGTCGTGTCTTTTTCAACGTTATTTTTGATGTTTACACTCACGTGGATAACAGAGAAACTGAGCTAGAGCTAGTTTCTGATCTATCTATCTATCTATCTATCTATCTATCTATCTATCTATCTATGTTTATGTAATGTTGACGAAGTTATTAATAAAATAATTTTTTGCTTTAACAAACAAAAAAAAAAAACTGACTGCAAGCAGTCTATTCCTGTATGTGAGATAGTGTTGCCGCATTAAGCCATTAGTAATCTTAATCTTTGATTACTAATATTTATTTAGTGGTGTCCAGCATTAGGCACGCGGACCGAGTAAAACCAAACTTTGAACTGTGTTATCTCTTAAGACTCTTAAGTTTACTTATGGATTATTGTAACACTTATGAAGGCCAAGCCACAGTTACAAACCGCAGTGAGGACAGCCTGGTTCAGTAAAATCTCATTGTACTGCTTTTTTTTTGTTTTTTCAACTTTGTTTACTCGGAAGCTGAGATTTCTTTGCCCTCATGATAAGGATGTAACTGTTTTCTGACAGATGACAGTATAGCTGCCCCCAGACTCGTACCCAGGTGAAAAAAGAAAAGATTAGGATTGGGTATAAGACCTACGCGGTGCTGTGAACAGCTTGGGAGATACTTTATAACACGCTTTAATCAGCCATTTATAATCAGAGCAGTTGGACCAGTTAAATATATCAAAATCATTTCTCTTTTTGACTATTCTATTTTTCGTTTGTTTGTAAAATGTTGTAGTATACTTTCTAATGACTGTGTTGTGATTTAGATATAAGGGGCTTGCTTAGTGCTGTAGATTCGTTCACCTCTAAGCGTCTACTTGTACAATCAGCTCAGCTCAAATATCAAATCCAGTGTCACGAATTATATTTTAAATTAGGTTGTTTCGTAAAAGGTTTCAACTTCGTCTGGTGTGAACCTGTACGATCCTGCCAGGAATGTTTTGGCGAAGGTGCTGCGGTAGCTGTATCCGCTCGGTGGGCTGTAAGTATAGCCAAGGTCGCTGTAAGAATTGCTATTAGATGACGCGTAGTTATAGATGTTAATGTCATGTCCTCCTCCGAATGTAGGCCCATAAGATAAGCGAAAGTATATGGAATGTGCTCTGCTAGAACTAGATTGCCCTGACTGAGACAATTTGACAGGCGCCCATCCTGGTTTGTTTACCAGCGAAAATAAGAAGGCTTTTGAGTCGTACTGATACCGGCGAGAACCAGAAGCTAAAAGAAATGAAACAAAACTTTTCTAAGATAAGTAAGCGACATTGTCCTTGTGCCTGTCATAATAATGACGATCATGATGATGATTATTATTAATTAAAGACAATAAATACCTTATTCTCATAAAACAAATTCGATCGAGTGTTTTTTCTTAGCCGAAATTTGCAAATTTAACCAAAAACTTGTGATAAAGCACGTTAGTCGCTACTTTTGCAATATGGGAATTGAAAGATAGAAGATCAGGGTGGCAAGAAAGTCAGAACAATATCGATATTTTATAAACTCAAAATTATTATTATAATAGTATTAGCCTCGAATTCGGGCACGTTTTGACAAGCTAGAAATGTATCGCTTACTATCTGCAGAACCAGAACTCTAGAGAAGGAGTGAAGGGGGGGGGGAGGGTTGCTCATTCACACCATGTGAGTGTAGGAGGGGCGGTCCTCGCCCCTTGAGGAACGAGGGGATATGGAGCCGCATCTAGAGCTATTAACCTAGAACCTTTGTTCGCCACTGCTTAACCATGTATGAAAGGTAACGTCACATGATTCCATACTGTTAAGTACCAAGCTGCACTTTTAGCTGAACATATCAATGCCAATTACGCCAAAGGTATAAATGCCACTGCCATGGCTTACAATGCTCACTTACCCCATGAAATACTAGTGTATCCTCCGAAAATATATCTCCCGACCCTTATTATTGTCACAGTCGGGCCCTTGCCGTCACATTGGGAGTGAAATGTACTTCCAGCCCAGCCGTCCACGGATGCATGCCAACAGCGCTTCCAGAGAGAATTCACGCTTTTTGCCACAGGTGCTAGCCAGTTTCTTAACAAGGTCAAGTGATTTCTGTTGTTTCCCACAATGACTGAGCTTTCAAAATCTACGTATTAAAAGTCAAAGTCCATAAAATGACAAGGAAAAAAGTTTTTAAAATGTTAAAACAACTGAATTTATTGAGAAAAAGAGTAGCATTGCAAGTGACTAAAGAAAGCATTTATGCATGCATGTACGTGATTTGCACGCTATTAAGGAAAATTAAGCATTTAAGATCATTGAAACTCTTAATAGTAAACACGCATAATTGTCTTAAGTTGCATATTTCTGTAAGCGCAAAATACAGTCGCAATGATAGTAGCTCTCTTCTGGCTTTAGCAGTGATTAGATGGTTATTGAATGCCTGAAAAGTAAACAAACAAACAAAGAAACAACAAAAACAAAAATTAAAAAAAAGCAGTATTCAAATAGATCACCCTGCGATATATTTTGGTATAGCCGTATAGTTCTCGTAGTGCCAAAGTGAGAAAAAAAACTGTCTTTCATAATGTTTTAACACTCTTATTTAACCAAGATCGCAAGCTGGATAAGAAGATTTGCATTACTGAAATGAACGTTTAGTCTAACGGTACCTGATTCTTGCTTTGGGTATTGTATAATTGCGCACTGGGAAGCTGTTGTTTAGTGGATGCTCAAGCAATATCATAGCAGTGAGTTTCGTACGCCCAAATGCCCAGTGCCCAATTACCAAAGCAACTTTTTATTGAATCAGGTATATACAGGGTGAGACGGTGCCTTCAATACAAACCTGAACGATGCACTTGTACTGCTAGGTTGATTCTTCTCTTCTTTGTTCCCATAATGTTAGTAGCTACGCAGTCGTAAAAACCGTTGTCGGCAGGACTCAAGTTTTTAATGGTAAGTGTGCCTTGGTTTATAGTAGTCTTTCCAGCAGGTAAAGGCATTGCTGCTCTAGTCCAGGTTACCGCGGGGAGAGGATATCCGTCAGCTTGACATGTTACTTGAAACGTAGTGGCTTGAACTGGTGTGGCAAGTGAAGGTGGAACTTTTGTGAAGACTGGAAGACCTGAAATAGAGCCGATACATGATCGACCAGCGTGCATAGAATATAATGTGGTAGGCGTTTTGAGAGGCCAGCGGCACACATCCAGCAAAAATTAACCTAAGTAACCTCCCCCGGGTGGTCTAAGCTAAAAAGGTAGAAGAAGAAGAAGGATGGTGTTGTGTGCCCTCGCGTTCATGTAAGTTCCAAATATTCCTGTCATGTGTTATTATCTTTAACATTATTTAATATCTTTATGTTTGTATGGCTCCGATTAAACGTTGAACTACACTAGTGACTACTAGCCTGATGCCAATGAGTACAATCTACAGTCCTTGATCATGAGCATACGGTATAAGTGAGTAAATTTAAAGTTTGGCGTTATAGACTGCTTAAGAAAAGAAAAAATGAAGGAAGAGATAAAAGTAAATGATTAAACAACGGTGACATTTTTTATTCAAACCTCATATTCTCGCATTCTCTGAGCACAAAAAAGACTACAAAATCAAGCAGCCAGATATAACAACACTCTAAGTTAAATGCTCTTCTTACCTCGAACAGTCAAGTTGCTAGTGGCCTCAGACGATCCAAGAATGTTCATGGCAGCACATGTGTACGGTCCAGCATCGCTGTAATTCAGATTTCTAACGATCAACTCTCCTTCTTTAATCAGATACTTTGCGCCTGACAGAAGCTTTGTGCCCTTAAATTGCCATTCCACGACTGAGGAAGGGTTTCCTACAACCGTGCAATAAAATGCCGTATTTCCTCCCTCATCTCGTGTCTGCTCTGCCGGTGACAACATCACTTGTGGAGCAGATATCGATTTTCCAGGCCTTCCAGGTGGTCCCGGCATGCCTTTTGGCCCAGGCTCTCCATTGCTTCCCTTTTCTCCTCTCGGTCCTGCGGGACCAGTTATTCCTGTTTTTCCGGATTTTCCAGGTGGTCCCATGGGACCTTGAGGACCTTTATTTCCTTTTGGTCCCCTCCTGCCACGTGGTCCCCTCGCTCCAGTGGGACCAGGATATCCGGGGGGACCTGCAGGACAGACTTTTTCACTTGACTTACAGTACTTGGTGGGCATAAGTTGTTCAAACTGTTTCCTGATTTCTTTTCTCACTTCATGTATGGTGACACTAGTTGAAGAGTCATTTGAAACATGTCTTGCCCTTCTTAGCCGGATGGTTGCTGATGCCTTTTTTGGCAACGGGCTGGCTGCAGGTAAGTAAAATTAAGAAATTTTTAAATATCCATACTAATTAATATTTAAAATAAATGAGGGAGAAAACAAATGAATGAACGAATAAATGATAAGGTTGGCATTTCTAACACAAAATTAAGCTTCTCAGAGATTGCGTTCAACAACAAGATTAACACATTGCAACCCAAAACGTTTTCCCAGTCTTCTTCCCTTTCTGCCTCTAAGGGTAACCCAAGCTCATTCTTGATCAACGCACACATTTCAAACCCCCGGGAGAGGGGGTTACTCAACAAATGTTTATACGGGGAGGCTTCACCCGGAGGTCCAACCACATAACCCTTTTTTTTTTCTTGAAAAAGTTACCCCTTTCATATCCCTTCCATTGACAAATGGTAGCCCTTTCACATAGCTTGTTTAGAACTTTGTATCCCTTTTAACTGCTGTAAATACACTGTCTTTTAAATAGGAATCAATCAGAAAAATAGAACGTTTTTTCGACTTTATAAAGCCATAAATTCATCTGTTAGTCCTTCTAGTTTTGGGCCCTTTTACAGACCCAAATGACAGATTTCCCTTCCTTTTAATATACTTCCACTAGTGAAATCCCTACCCTTTCATATACCTGAAGCCTGAAAAAGATACCCCTTTCGGGCGAAGCCGCTCCGTATTGGCCATCATAGGCAGTACCAACGCCCTCCCCCTCCCCTTCCCTCCCCCGGGTTCAAACCAACTGAGACCGTTCAATAAACGCATATTTAGTCTTGCCACCCTATCGAAGTTAAGAAAGGTTTTCTCAAGTGAGCCGGCTAGTCCCAAGACTCCTTAACCGAACTCATCTAAAGCCATAATTTAAGAAAACAGTTCTCAAATATTACGCTACCGTAACAATTTTATTCATACAGTGCTAAAAAATGTTCTTTTCCTTCAAGAAATAAGCTCTACAGCAAACAGATAAACGCATAAAAAAATGCTATGCACTATTGCCTTTTGTAACGCTATCTGCGGTGTTCAACCTTAAACAAGCTCTTATCGAAAATTGTCTTGCACATTCTGGAAGCACACCCTAAATGCTTAGGGAGCTTCCTCTACCATTCTATATGGTCTACAATAATAAGCGGTAATTGTTGGTTCTATGAAGCTTTATGGCCGTATCTTGTACGTTAGCAAGTCGTTCGGCACTTAAGCCATGAATTCAATATCATTTACACAGTAAATTTCTTTACTGGTTTACAGTACAGGTGGCTTAATGAATATCTAAGCAGTATTACAAAAGAGTGAGTGTATTACAAAAGGGTTCATACAGTGTTAGTTGAAGTTAAAATTCAATTCTGTCATGAAATATCCAAAGATCCAGTATGCAAGCGCAAACTCGCACTATGAAAGATTATATGCCTGAATCAAAAGAGGATAAACTCAGCTCTAAACATCTATCTGCATCTAAATAACATCTGAATCGATGATTTTACCTGATGTATAACCGATCCTTTCTGATACCTGTGTCTGAACCTTCTTATAAAGGTCTCTTGCTGTAGCTTCTGTCGGTGAAAGAGATATCCTATCAGTATTTTCAGTCGAGACACTCTGAACGCAGGGGAAAAGGTTGATGCGAGATTCCAGCCCGATCAACCGTTCATTTGTTGTTTCATTCTTCACCCAGAGACAACCGCAGACAAAAACTAATACAACAGAAAGGAACGATGGTCTAAGCGACGGAACAAAATCAAGGAGCCGACGAGATTCTGAGGAGTTCGAGGATTTCATTTCTGCAGCTTGTCAAAGACGGAGGTAAGTGGGAAACTTGCCAGTAAAACTTGATTCTTAAAAAACATATCATCACGATTGACGTTAAAACAAGGCTTTATAAGCAGTGTCATAAGGGACGGCACGGACAGTTATAAAAAAAATTACGTTATGGGGGAGGGGGAAGGTGAAGTACGAAAAGGAGTAAATATTCGTGTAAGGGAAACCGCTCTAAATGAAAAAAATTCATGCACGCCAAGTAACGCCAAAAATACTCATGCACTAGCCTAAAAAATTCATACAAGGGAAATGCTAACGAAAAAAATTCATGCGAGTTTTCTATAATTATGGTTTGTCCCTAATTGACCTTTTTCCTTTTTGCATTTTCGTGTTGCTGTAAAACGTGCTCAATAGCGGGTGAAAAGCGGAGAAAATTGAGTATTTATATTTACTGAGTGATTTCAATTTTTTTTTCATGATCCCAGAAATAAGTTTCATCAAGATGGATGATACGCTTTTCAATTTCGTAGACTATTTCAGTCTGAATAAGAATCTCTGTTAACCATGGGTTTTTCACTCCCTTTATGAACCCAGATAATAACAGATGAGGTGAGGCCCCGCTCGCCTGAAAGGATATAGGTAGCTTAAGCAACTACGAGGCCCACGACGACAACTTAAAAAAAACAAGGTTTAATAATCAAAACAACAGCTCTGACGTGCATCACGCTTTTTAGTACATTTCTTTGACGTCCACTGCACGACTACTTCGTGAAACCTCCTAATTTGACGTTTTATGGAGGACGTGGACATACCACGAGGAATTTTCCTTCCACTTTTTGAACTGGAATAAATTCTTAACGAATTCAACTCCACAAAAGTCTTCTACATTTGGCATATTGAGAGGGTCCAAATAGACGCGATAAAGCTTGAAAGAACGCAAATTCATTTTTTAGCGACGTTTTCACTGCCGTCGTCGTCATCGTCATCGTTGCTTAAGGTCCCTAATAACCTTTCTCAGGCTTCGGCTTAAGCAAAGGGTAGCGAATTCATGAATTCTTATTCACTCCTTCTTTCAACGTTTGGGTAGTTATTTTCACGTTTAATGCAATTTTAATTTTGCATAGGTACCGTATTTTAAGGACCTCTTTAAGCAATTGGTACACATTTCTAAAACTTTAGTAGAGGGTAATAATGTAAAACCTTAAAGCTCTCCTGTAAAACGAGAGAGAGAAGGAGACGTTAGTTACTTGCAGTCTAAAATTAGCCCGCAGCAACGATAAGTTTCTAAGTAATTAGGATTCCAAAATACAGAAAAAAACGTGCTTGAATTAGAATATGGACCCTTTAAAATAATTTATGGTTATTTGTTCTGAACTTATTAATACCTATTTATCCAAGCTTTGGCGAGGAAGTCTGTGCAGCCACGGAGACCTATATTTTTTCGATGAAAATAGAACTTAAAATACAATCAGTGATATAATTTGTGGACATAAGTTACTTCTTGTTGTCCTAGAGAAAAAGAAAAATGCACAGTAAGATAATTACTTAATATTTAAAATAGCTGCTTCGCTTTTAGTAAATATATTATTATTGACCTATTTACTTAAAACGTAAAAAAATGTTTCGATCTAAATGTGCAAATTCTTATCAATAGAGCAGTGGTTTTGAGATTATATTCTTTGTTCCTTTAAAGTATCTTAAATATTTTTACTTGATCACCTCCTTTCAATTAAATGAGTAGGCTATCTTTAACTTGTAAATGAAAGTAATTAGAGACTTTTGTGTTTTCTTCTTGCTTATTCAGGTGCCTCGGTTTATTACTTGGTTGGTAATGATTGTTAACTCCTTAGTGATTATGAAAAGTGCACAGCTGTATCAGTATACACGATTCCAACCAAGAGCCTGAAAACGTGAGAATTTCAAATTTTTTTTTTTTCTCTAACCATAAAGAAGAAAAAAGAAAACTAAAATTAAAACCAATAAATAAACAACAATACAGGAAAAAACAAAACAAAACAAACAAACAAAAAAACACACACACACACACACATCAGGTAATACTATTCGCCGATCTCATATTTGTGATGATCACGACCAGTCGTCCTCTTGTGACGAGTGCTTTCTTTCTTCGATCACCAACGCACAAAAATCACATACTAGATGTTTCGCAATCGGTCTTCGTTTTCAGTTCAACCTCACTTGTAAAGTAACTTCCGGTATGGTCAGTGGGTATAGTAGTTGCCAGTAGCCTATACCCTTTATTTAAAACTCAGGACAGAATTTAATAGCTTTCATTACCGCGCTTGAAGAGACAAACAGCAGTTGCCCAAAATTACTCTTTATGTCTGATGTAGAAGGATGGAGTGCTTTCAGTGTGTGCTTGTTATATCACATTAAAATACATCAAACTTGCTTCAAGTTTTCGATTTGAAGCTCAAAAGTACTGCCTTATATGGGCTATATAGGTGTGCCGCTATGAAGGATATGGTTTCCAAGCAGTATACTCTGCGATAGGGTATATAAACCAGAAAGTTTGGGTCTAGAATAGGGTATCATTTTCCAGGAAACTGATCAATTGGTTGAAAATTTTAGTCTAGACTAGGGAAACCGGGAATTGCCACTCAAAAATATAAAAAATCAAATCGGTTTTGTTTTGGCTGGACTTTGCTAATAACCGCAGTAGTTTCTGGAAATCAGCTACTCTAGGATAGGGGGGATTTGGGGAACTTAATCTAGTATAGGGTAGCAAAATTCAGCTGAATTAGCTCTGGTATCGGCCAAGGGTCCAGGGTCCCAGCGGCACATGCCCACCCCAAAATTCCTTAATCCCCCTCCCCCGGGCCCCTACCTTACAAGATACGAGGACTGAAGAGTGAATGATAGACTATTCTTTTTAGAAATACTCCATTCTGTGGTCAATTTTTTAACCTGTCAAGTTTGTTGCATGTAAACCAACGTTTTCTGAGACTCCAGAGAAGTGCACTTTCACTGGGCCAACAATTTTGCCGAACTAAAAACCACGCTATAAAATTGGCATGTGGAAGTCAGTGGCAATGGCTTCTTTTGATCGCTGTGGCTATGGCCGGTAACCGGTCAAGGTGTTGAAAAAACCCTAAATGACCGGCAGTCCTATATTCTCAGTAAATTTCACAAAATCGAAAAATTCCAGCTAATCTAAACTATCATATCATGTTCATTAAGAAAAGTCAAGCGATCCTGAAATGCTTTATAGATCTCAAGTCTAGCGTTTGGTTTACGCTGGGCTCAGAAAGACGAAACCTTTGTGACACTCAGACTTTTTTCAGCTCGACTGCCGGTCAAGGTTTTCAAAAAACTAAATGACCGGCAGTCCTAAGTGTCACAAAACAAATACTGTTCCGTGCATAGTTAGTAGAGGGCACTGGTTGGGAAAACCGGCAAACTTCAAATTAAAGGACTGGGCTATTGTCTCCCGTTAGAGGTTGAGACAACACGTCACGTGACAACACAGTCTTCCTTAAAATGAGCGGAGTGCCTCTTTGGTCTAAAAAAAATTACAAGACACAAAAGTTCAAATAGTACATCCATGTTAGAATCTCGCAATTAAATAGACCAAATAGTGGTTTTTAGTCAGAACCATCGATTCGTTGATCCAGTGACCGTTCTAATCATTTTGTTTGCGACGTTTGAAGTACATCTCACGTGATAAAAACTCATTCCAGCGCATCAAGGGAAACACTATTGACGGGTGAATTCCTGAACTTAAAATTGCTTGAGCTGATGTAAAGTCCAATTCCTATTGGCTGGAGGAAACGATGGGATAAAGATGAAATAGATAATTAACTTTTGAGTAGAAATTTATTAAGTACCACAAAAAAACCCATAAACTAAGCGTTAATCCAAAGAAGTCTCTGAAAAATCTTTTAATCAATCGAAGTGGAGAAAAATAGCTACATAGCTGATTAAGCAGAAGCGCTTGGGTGAGATTATCGCTCAAGCCTCACACTCCCGTCAAGCGAGTGGTCATTCAGAACTTTCCTTTGAACGGCCTCGCGTGTTCCTGACATACTCAATAATTAATGGGGTTGTTCCGCAGTCTAATGCACACCAAGAGCCATAATAACTCTTGTGCATACATATTGCCAAAGCTCGATTTCCACCCCTCTCCTGATCCTCCACTGCTCGGGGGAAAGAGCGCGGGCTCATTTCCCAAACAGCGGCTTGTATTCGAGCCTAACACATAACAAACAACCGAAAAGTTCCATATAATGTAACCATGTATTATGTACTGTAACATTTCGTAGCCTCTTTTTTTCATACAGCTGCTAAGAGACTGGGACAAGAGACTGTGACAATCAATTTTAGAGATGGTTTAGTTATTTTTAATTCTCATAAATGCAAAAGAAAACAACAAGCTCATTACTTAAACATAAAAACCGGTTGTAGCTCATTATAATTATTTAAGTTGTTTCGTAAAACGTTTCTACTTTCTGGTGTGAAATTGTATGTTCCTGCCAGGAATGTTTTGGCGAGGGTGCTGCTGTAGCTGTATCCGCTCGGTGGGCTGTAAGTATGGCCAAGGTTGCCATATGAATTGCGATTGGATGACGCGTAGTTTGATATGTAAATGTCATTTCCTCCTCCGAATGCTGGCCCAAATGATGGGTTAAAGTATATGGAATATTGCCTTCTGGAACTATATTTCCCTGTCTGAGGCAACTTGACGGGTGCCCACCCTGGCTTGTTTACAAGTGAGAATAAAAAGGCGTTTGAGTCGTACCGATACCTAGACCCAGAACCTACAAGAAAATAGAGATGGAATAAAAGTGCCATTTGGGATATTTTTTCTGATACAGGAGGTAAATTAGAGCGTCTGCGACGCAAGCAAAATGAACACAAGACAAAAAAAAAAAAAAAAAAAACTCATGAAGTGTGTCGAGAGTTTAATTCCTATCTGGAACTCAGGCATTTTTTTAGTTCTTCTCTCAACATATATCCTTACATTAGCAATGTAAATAAACAAAAAATACCCGTTCGGCCAATTTGAAATACATGGCCTATTACCCCCTGAATTGAAATCCACTCATGATCAATCATTTTACCCTACTTACATCTATACCCTCGACAAGAATAACTCGAAACACATCCAATAAAAACGAAAAAATGTAAATCACTGGGTCGCCTGGTAATATACAATTAGTGGAAAAAATTTACAGATAGTGCTTTATAAATTAGTGATAAAATAACCATGAGAATGTGTATACTTTGTGTTTATCACGCAGTGTTTCATTTTGTTGCTTACAATAAAACCTCCAACAAGCAGCCAATTTTTAAACGGGAGATTAACAATCGGGGTCCTGAAACCTAAGAGACTGGTGCAAAGGTTTCCGTCTATGGGAGCTGTCTAAAAGCAAAGATTCGCAATTACAAAGCAATAGATTCGACCAAAAAAATATTTGAAAAATAATAAATAAAACGTCAAGTAATTAGATATTTCCTTTCGTAACTTGTATAGAGCAAATCTGGAAAATCATGATCTGTTGTTGTTATTTTTTTTGCCACATTTGCTAATTCCTTGTGAGTCTAGGAGGGAGGTCCTCGGTTTTTGAGGGGCGGGGGGTATGCGTCCGAATCTAGATCCGCTAACCTGAATACTTTATCGGCTGCTGCTTAACCTTGCAAAGTCAAACTGACTCCACGTTGCTCAGTACCAAGCTACCAAGCTGCGCTTTTAGCCTCACATATCCATGCAAGTGACCGCATGGCGTTAAGGTAACCACCCCTTACAATACGCACTTACCCCAAGATATACTAGTGTATCCTCCAAAAATGTATCTCCCAACCCTTATTATTGTCACAGTCGGGCCCTTGCCCGTTACATAGGGAGTGAAATGTACTTGCAGCCCAGCCGTCCACGGATGCACGCCAACAGCACTTCCAGAGAGAATTTACGCTTTTTACCACAGGTGCTAGCCAGTTTCTTAACAAGGTCAAGTGATTTTGGTTGTTTCGCACAATGACGGAGTTTTCCAAACCTAAGGGGAAAAAGACCATTTTTATTATATGAAGTACAAAGTATTTGAAATTTCACAGAAACTGAATTTATTTTCACTGAGGTATTAGCAAAGAGATAGGATAACCATATTGCAAAATGTAAAATTAACGTTAACTTGATTCGTTTTGCTAAAAAGAAATTTAAAGTGTTACGTTTTAGACTGATCAAAACGCCAGTAATGACGCATAATGTCTTAAGTTGCAATTTGTGGTAAGCCCAACATACACAGTGACAATAGCTTTCATTCTAATCTTTCCGATCCGTTCTGCCATTTCGGACCGTGAAATGAAATGCACGATGTAGAACACCAACGATTGTGGCACGTAAGCATGATTATTTTTCTAGTTCCCGTTTCCTTGAAGTTGAATAGCGAAAGCAAACAGCTGAGGATATATCCATTCATTATAGATACGACTTATCATTTCGCCAACATTCTGCAATTAAAATAATATTCTTTTTCCATACGATATCATGAGGATCATCTCGCCCAGTTACATGTACACTTTCGTCCTGTGATCAAAGAGTGGTGATGTTTAACAGAGCTCGCAAGGGTTTATGGATAGGCAAATTGCAAAATCCGTCTAAAAAGACGGATAAACAGACGAATAAATTCAGACGAATTACCCATCTTAATACTATACACCATAAGTCACTCAGTTCTGATTGGCTGAGAAAGGAGTGCAGTTCTTCTGTAACACGAGTGCAAACTTGTAACACGAGTACAAATTACAAATGGTTTCTGATTGGCTGAAAACACAAAAGAAACGACCAAGAACCAACCAGATTAGAGCTGTTTTAACAAGAAAATTCAAGAAAATGGCCACAGTTTTCAGCAGACGACGACGGGATTTAAAAAAATATTCCAAAAACCCGAACACAGTAAAAAGTAAGTCTTTTTGGTTAAATGTATTGAAAATGCCTTGCTAAGAGAAAAATACTGTTAACAAAATCGAGGAAAATGAGCCAGAGAAACTAAAAAACAAGCTAATTATAACAGACTACGCTAAAGTAAAAAAATAAAGAACAAAAACGGTTGCAACCACACGTAAACCATGACAGCTACACTTTTCAGGCATTATCACTTTTCACTTTTCACTTTTCAGCTACACTTTTCAGGCATTTAAATGAACAAGGATACAAGTTTTCCATGATAACAACAGGGATTTCAAGTCACGAGTCACGTACGTTATTTGTTGGAGGAGAAAGGTGTCCGGTTGCTCTCTTTCAGTCTTTTGCGGAGCGAAGACCTCTATAAAAACGTCCATGCGATGGTCTGTCTTTTTCTACCTCAGTAGCAAACGAAACCGAAAATTTAAACACCTGGTCTAAACTAAACCAATGGACGAAAATACCATTCCGCCATCATCTGTGGCTCCACTCACCCATCGATAGCAGCATCGAAAGAAAACAAATTGCCTCCTTCATTTTCGGGTTTTAAATCTCAAAAATTTCTCCATGAATCCAGCTATGATGAGGTCTCACGCAGGAACAGACAATGATGAACAGTCTTTAAAAAACCTTAGCAAATGTCTTTCATCTTTGGCTGCTCGAAGCGTTCTCCTGATTTCAAAACGGCAGTATACTTCTTGTAAACGACGAGCTCTCATAATCGAGGATGAATTTAAAAACACTTACTTTTGCTGATTATTGTAAACCAAGTCATGATCTTTAACGGGCTAGTGACCATATAAAATCACTCCTTGCACATTTCCAAGTTCTTAGCTAAATGATTTTGAAAGCGTTGGTCTTGAAAAAGTTTGAATTTGACAAAGGTATTAGTGTGTTTCAGCCAATCCGTTGAATGAACTAAAAACGCGCGCGCTGTCAAAATTTGTTGTTGTAGCTATATTTTTCGTCCATTATATTTTAAAATCACATAATTTTTCTCGTGCAATTTGGAATAAATAAGCACTTGTAAACTTTTCAAAGAACACAGAGTCAGGGGCAGCCAACGGCAATTTTCAGAAAATATCTGTTCGGAAGACGATTTGAGATCTAGAATTTTCGGAACATTTGTTGTAAAATTTCTTGCTTGCCTGCCTCTCCTAGGATTTTGGAACATCTACAAAATGGTATAATTGCCCATTTTTAACGGATTTTGACCCTAAAAAAGGCCACCTAGAATTTTCGGGAGCCTTTTTCTGGCTGAAATTTTCGAGAAGGTAAGTTTTTATCCCTATCAGAATTTTCGGATCACTAGACTTTCAGCTAGGAAATCCAAACAGATGAAAAGTTTTTAGGGGATAAAAATATGCCTATATCTACTGTTTAAATACTTCTAAAATACGTTCAACAATGCTATGTTAAGTGGTTTTGAACTATATCCTCTTTGGGTGCCCCTGACAAGCTGTGCACTCGCCCTACGGGCTCGTGCACTTTTGTTGGTCTTTGAAAAATTAGTACTCGTGCTTATTTATTCCAAATTGCACGAGAAATTATGTGATTACCTATACAAATTGAACATTGTCCCGTTTTCACATCTAGACGGATTATCCGTCCGAGATGGATTATCCGTCTTAGATGGATAATCTGTCTCTAGTGTGAAAACAACAAATTGCACTTGACCGGAATCTATTGTTTGGCCATCACATTCAAGCAAAACACTGTTAGTGAATTCCATAAATCCATTAATTCCCAATTCGCCATTTGCACATCTCTAATAATAAACCCCTTTGGCCCCTAACAATCGTGTATTGCATTTTTATTCATTCAAAATATTTCTCCGTTTCTGATTGGCTAAAAGCAGACGCATAATTCACCATAACCAGCTACTGTTGACCAAATTGGGAAGAATTTTGCGATTAATCAACCGATGACGTCAAAAATGAAGCACTGTTGCAGGTTAATGCACCGTTCACGCCTTCTGTCACGCCACTTTCCAAAATGCTTTGATCACGTGCTTTAATGTATTCCGAGCGGGGTACATTGCCTTGTGTACCACCAAGGGGATACATTTGATTTTATTCAAGGCCACGTGACCAAGAATCAGCCAGTGGCTGTCCCTGTTTAGTTGAGTGAAAGCCTAGGAATATAACAACATGCATTGTTTTCAATATGTCTTGGGAGACTGTATTAACCAGGAGAAATTTATAGCAGAGGTATGCAAAAATTTAGAGGCAAAAAAGATGATTATGAGAGATATGCAAATGCCGAATGCCCAATTGCCGTTCGCCAATTTCCAAAGCAACCTTTTTTTTTACTTAGGCAAATGTAGATGGCGCTATTGATACAAACCTGAATAACTTGGACGCACTTGCACTGCTAAGTTGATTCTTTTCTTCTTTGTTCCCATAACGTTAGTAGCTACGCAGTCATAAAACCCGTTGTCAGCAGGACTCAGGTTGTTAATGGTAAGTGTTCCTTGGTTGATATTTGTCTTTCCAGCAGGTAAAGGCATTCCTACTCTAGTCCAATTTATCATAGGGCGGGGAAATCCATCAGCTTGACAACTTACTTGAAACGTAGAACCTTGTACTGGTGTAGCAAGTGAGGGTGGAACTTTTATGAAGATTGGAAGTCCTAAAAACAAGAGCTGAAAATTAACCATGATGAACAGTAGAATAGATTAATTAATTGGACTCTAAATTTGTGACATAATTCTTATCTTTTCCGAGAAGCATGTCAATCTCTATGCCCTAATCCACATCCAGCTAGAAAACTACTGGGAAACTTTGTTAACGAAATGTTCAACAACGTAACTGAAAAGTACATAGGGAGCGAAAGAAATGACTCAAAAAGATATGTGAGAAATATGTAAGAAATGTATATAATGTAATATGTTGAAGGTGAAGACTAACCCAAATACCTTGAAGCAAACTCTAAATTCAACATGGTCATGCATTGAGG